GAGGAGTAAACCTCACACACAAAGAGGATGGAAAGAGAATCCAAGTGACAGCACAGGTCGTGGCTGAGCGGACAGGACGCCTCACCTGTTTCTCAAGACGCAGTTTCGCTCCCGCCCAGGCCTCCTCCCGCCTGCCCTCCCGGCCAACCAGCAGCCTCGCCCCGGCTGAGCAAGAAAATGGGCGCTATTGTGGCCTCCAGGCTCCGGGATTCGGCGCATTTATTTTATCCTCCTGCGTGGACAGGCGAGTGTGCTCTCTGTGAAGCGCTCTAACACCGACTCTAACAGATCTGCTAAGAGAGTTTCAAGGGGACACTTTCTGGCACTCAGAGCTGGAGGAGACTTTTCCGTTTCCAGTTAGAGCATCTATCCCATCCCGGTGAGGGGAGGCTTCCCCACACATTTCCCATCAGGAAGACCGTCCTGCCATTTCCATACGGACCCACCCGTTCCTAGAAGGAACAGGACTATCGTTGGGGCACCACGTGAGCGTCTTGTTTTTCACTTTGATAAATACGTCTTCTCCAGCTGCGCGAAGGGAAGCCCAGGAGTGGAATGAAGTCATTCCGGAAGCGTCCGTCAGAGGGGTCGGGGACGGGACCGGCCGTCCAGCTCATGGCGGAGCGCGCCTGCCTCGCCGTGCGGCCTCTCCTCCGGGCTCACAGGAACAGCTCCCTGACTCCCCTTCCACTCGGGAGGAGCGCACGCTGTTGTTCTAAATGCCCACACGGAACTGCCATTACAAGACGCCTGACTCACCGCTCCCCCTCCTTCACGGGAGCTTCAGGCTGGACACCAACCAGCCTGCCCGCCTCACGCACCCCACAGGCCATGGGCGCCATGGGCGCCACGTCTACGGGCGCCGAGGCCTCCCGGATGGGACCCGTAAAGGCGAGCGATGCGCTAGGTTCAAGCCAACGGAGGCCTCGCTCACAGTGAACTCCAGACGGTACGCGCGGACAAGACGGCAAACTGCATCCCACACGCACACACAGGACGCCCATGAGCCCTGGGAGCCACGGCCGCCCCTCAGCGCCCCGCCCCTCAGCGCCCCTCCCTCAGCGCCCCTCCCCTCAGCGCCCCGCCCCTCAGCGCCCCTCCCTCAGCGCCCCGCCCCTCAGCGACCCTCCCTCAGCGCCCCTCCCCTCAGCGACCCTCCCTCAGCGCCCCGCCCTCAGCGCTCCTCCCTCAGCGCCCCTCCCTCAGCGCCCCTCCCTCAGCGCCCCTCCCTCAGCTCGATCAGAGAGACTGAGCTTGCTGTGCGCTGTGGCCACACAGCTGGGGGACTGTGACCAAGCATGTTCCCACCCCACCACAGCCAATGCCGCCCGGGGGTGTGACAGGGCTCCCTCCGACGTGGCTGCCCAGTTCTCACTGATTCCACACACTGTGCTTTGGTCTCTAATTTCCACTCCTCTGGAGTTCAAGGCCACTCGCCCAACCACCACGGAAAGTGCCCTCTCGGGAGCAGGGTCTCCTCGGCGCTCTCCACTGGCGAGCAGCCCGCGCTTTCCATGTCCTCCCCTCAGACCGTCTCTCCAGGCAAGGCCAGTCCCGCCCCTGGGCCGCATTCCCACGGGGAGACAGAGCAGGCCTGCCCTCCGAGTGTGAGCACCCGGCGCCCGCACACACAGCCTGCCAAAGGAGTCCGTGCCCTCTCCGTGCCTGGCTTTCCTCCATTTGCTTAAATCCTTGTAATATTTTTATTGATTTCAGAGAGAAGGGCGAGAGAGGGAAACATCAGTGATGAGAGAATCATGGGCCAGCTGCCTCCTGCACGCCCTGCACTGGGAATCAGCCCACACCCCCGGCCTGTGCCTCCTGGGTCACACGTCGACGCTCAGCCACTGAGCCCCACCGCCAGGCTCCTCTAGTTACGTCAGACCTGAGGCTGGGGGAGGCCCTCACTTCATTTCGCTACCAAACCTCAGCCCTGTGTGAGCGCTTGGATGGAAGTCCGGCCCAGGCGTGCGGCCTACCCTGAATTTCCACTTGGTTCTGGAACAGCCTCGGTGAGCAGAACAATCCCGATACATAAATCACGTGTGACTTCCAAGTGCCCCGGGGGGCGGTGCGCACCCTTTTCCTCAGAGACCAGGATGCTGCAGTGAGGTCTCAGGCCAGCCCCCAAAAGCCATTTAACCCCCACGCCTGACCACAGCCCGTGTTCCAGCCGGGACCGCGCACAGGGCCCGGACAGAGCAGGACTCAGACCGCTGGGCGAGGTGAGGGTTCCTGCCCGCGGGCAGGTGCACAGAGGGCTCTGGGGAGGGCTCTGCGGGGAGATCTCTGCAGGAGCCCCGTGGAGGCGTAGCTTTTTCCCGCCCTCCTTTACCAGCCCCTCCCCCCACTGCTTCCAGGGACCTGCTTCTTCCTGCCCGGCTCGCCCCCCGGCGCTGCGCACGCAGGAGGGCCGCCATGCGATTAGCTGTCACACAGTGAAACGCGAGCGTCTGGTCACTGAGCTCACCCAGAGGTGTCTGCCTCCGGAGATGCCTGACGACCCAAACCGCTCTGTGCAGCACAGAGAACGGAGAAGCAGATGCGTAGGCCTGTCCCGTGGAGAGCCAGTGCTCCTGGGGCCGTTTCCAAAACGTCCCTGCCTTTCTAAGCAACATCCTCCCACCAGCCACTCTGCAAACGAATGATGTTGTACCCGGTCCAGTCCTGCCTCAAGTTCCCATGGTAATGGCAGGTCTGAGGACGCTGATGGAGGTGTGCAGGGGCAGGAGTCTAGCCTTCAGAGCACCTTCTCAAACCAGATTGAAAGCCAAAGGTTCAAGACTCAACCAATTGTGAGCAGGAGCGGCAGGGCAGACAGACCTGTGCCATCGCCGGGCCAGAATTCTGGTTTTCCTCAGCCTGAGTTCCCTTTAGACAGAATGGGAGGGGAGGGGAATGCCACCCATCTCCAACAAACCTTCGTGTTTGTGGGGGGAGAAGAAACGAGTTGAGAATCAACAAACAGATCCTAAATTAGAACAAGAAAGCGGATGTTTCAGAAATAAATTAAAGACCCTACAGGATTCTGCATGCCCCTGTGCTCCCTTCTCGGAGCCCGGAGGCACCAATTACTCTCAGTGTAAAAACAGCAAACACCAGCCCGGCCAGGGGCCTGCACCGGCTTTAAAGGCAGCGGCTCATTAAGAACCGCACCGCCATGGCAGTCAGTGCCGGGGGTCCGGACGAGAAACGGAACCGAGGTGAGCCTGGCCGATTCACAATGCGATTAAGGCCGCTTAGGGCACACCCCAACACTGTTTCTCTTCCGTACAAACACGAGGCCTTCCAAATGCCAGGAGCCATCATCCCCACCCGTCACTGTCACCAGCTCCCGGGCCTCCTCCCTGAGTGACACAGCAAACAGCACCTGCCCGCCCGTCACCAACGCTGCCAGGACCGCCGCGCTCTGACAAGTGGGCCTCCCCGACCACACACCTACAGGACGGGGGCCGCCCTGAGCCTCTTTCTTTCCTGGCGGCCAGAGGGGAGAAGCTGGAACCAGAGGACTAACTCAGGGTCACAAGCAGTCAGAATCGTGACCTCCTTTTTCTCAGTTGGTCCCTACTTGTGCCATTTCTCTGATTTTCGGTAAGAACAGAAGTACCCGAGGGCGTTGGGCCAAGCCTCTCATAAAGGCTGTTAGGAGCCAGCACAGAGTCCTATTAGGTTTAATTTCAAAATTGCTGCAGCACAATTACAGCAGACGGAAAGTGTGCTTTCCCTCCCGGACTCCTCCGCAGCGAATTCACTGCCTCACCGCCCGGGCTCTGGCCTGGGTGGCCCGAGGTGCCAGCAGCACCGCAGCGCTTCCTGCAGACGGTGGCCGCTCCCACCCGCCTTAGACACACACTGCCTTCCAATGATGCTGCCACCACTCACAAATCCTCAGGCATCGGGCCGTGTGGCTGTTCAGAAAAGTAAAAGTAAAACCCTGCGGTAGCTCAGCATCTACCACAGCGTGATTAAACCAACGGAAAGAAACAAACCCAGAACTCTAACCGTGTAGTGAGAGAGGAATTCCTACTGCAAGGGGAAGCAGAAATGACGAAGAGAATGCTGACTTTTCCTTAAAAGGCACTAAAAACTCCCATCATCCACATGACCTCTGAATTGGGGCACTCCTTCACTTGTGATCACGCCTAAGTGACTCTTAAACGACTGTCTTCAAAGGTGACACCGTGAAACACTACTGCCACCGAGACTTGTACTAGGGCCTTCCTGAAGACGGGCTGCCAGCTGCAGACTCGGCGGCACACCCCTTCCCCCCCTCCCCGGCCCTGAAGGAGGGAGGAGACGCATGCCCGTCCGTCCGCTGGCAAACGAGGGAACGAAGCACAGGGAAAGGGAGGTGTCAACCCCCTTCCCCCCACACCAATCTCCGCTGGCCCACTCCGGGGCTCACACACCGCACCTCCTATGTTGAAGGGGGCTGACAAGAACTGCATGGTCTGGAGGAAGGAGAAGATAGAAGGGGAGGAGGGTAGTTTCATAGCACCTGGGAAAGAGCTGTACTTTCAGGAAACATGAAATCTTGAAGGAGAAAATGAAACCCCAGCGGGCGCAGGTCCCGGGGAAGAAAGCACAGGCTGGGGAAATAACAGCTCTTCTTCTCCCCAAACCACCCCCACCCCTCCCCCCGCCTGGTCCATGCTCATCCCGGTTTTCGGCTCTAGCTATCTTCCGGCCGAGCTAGTCTCCCTGTTCCTTAGCAAAGTCCTGACAACGTGCGGCCCCAGCCGGCGGCTCCGCTGCTTGGAGTGTCGTCCCCATAGGCCAAGGCTGCAGGTTGATCCCTGACCAGAGCTCTTACAAGAACCAACCAACTAATGTGTAAACAAGTGAACAGATCGACATTTCTCTCTCTTTCTCTAAAAATCAATATATATTTTTTTAAAAAATGAAAACTCGCAGAACTGTAAAAACATCAGTTGTCAAATCACTAAGCCCCTCCCACCCCACCGGCAGGCGGCGGCACAGGGTCCGGCGGCATCGCCTACCTTCGCCTCGTCATTGATGTCCCAGGTGAAGGAGATGGCATTGTAGGCGATCTCCTCGATGTTGCTGATGGTGTTGAAGCTCTCTTTGTAGTCGGCTACGAGTGACAGAGAGAGTGGCCTTTGTGATCTCTCAGTCCCCGTGAAGGCAGGCCTCGGTGAGATCCATGTTTCACATGATCCCCTCGGGTCACTTGCATTAACACTTTGTTGAGTTGACAGAAGTTTAAAAAACCAAGAAAGGTAGTTTCTGTAACTGAGCAGGCTTAGAGGCCTTTATCTCACTGTGTAATTGGAGGCTCGATGGGCCACAGATGGGTAAACCACTGTCCCCGGCACAAAGCCACTCCGAGTGCCCCGAGGAGGACCCGGTTCCTTTCAAACGGACAGAGAGCATCACCAGAGGCCAACAGCGGGAGCGGTACTAAGTTAGGGGCCGGCATACGGCACAGACTGAAAATGTGGCACACGGCAGGAAGGGGCGGGTTTTTGCGCAGGGACTGCACTCTGGATGGGCTCTGCCGGAGAGGCTCTCACGGACAGGGAGCCCGGCGCAGGCAGGTCAGTGCTGCCTTTACCTGGGCACCGCCTCTCCCTCTCCCTCACCACCACCTCCAGGTGCTGAGACCCCGCCAAACCGTGCCCTCGGACACCTGCGACCAGAAGGCGGGCACCTGTGTGAGCTGCTCTGCCGGTTGGGCCCCGGGGCCACGCAGAAAGCTGCAGGGGCCCCAGCCCCCCAGAAGGAAGCATGGGTTCCAGGAGGCGAGGACAGCTCTGGAACGGGCCAGTCGCTGGCACACACATTCCCGCTTCTGGCAGGAAGCTGGTCGCTGCCAACAATAACTGAGGGGGCACTCGGAGCTACATACCAATGTCAATGCACCTCTGCTTGGCTGTGTGCTGCCGGGAGTGCCAGTACTTCCAATGCCTCAGCTGGTCCTCCCTGGTCTTGTCCTCGGCGAACACCACCATGATCACGCTCTGGGAGAGAGAACTCATTTCAGCGGGAGGGCGATGCGGGGAGCATCTCGGGGACGGCGCCTCCGGGTCAGGGTCCACAGGAGAGGCTCCGCGCTGCCGTCTGAGACCTGGACCTGCCCCAGGCCTGGCCGCGGGAAGCGCCGAGAGCTGGCCCCGGGGACTCACCCGCACTTTGCTGATGGGGTGGTGGATCCCCTCGTTGCTGCTCACTTCCTTCAGGGTGACGGGGTAGAACTGGCCTTTGTTCAGGTAGGTCATGGTGCTGTCCCCCGGCTTCTGGCGGAGTGACTTGGAGGCTTCCAGCGTGTACTCGAAGTTGTTCCTGAAGAAGAGAGAACCGCCGCTGGGACCGCTCCCTGGGAAGCCCCTCCAGCTCTAGCTCAGTCTCAAAGCGCGGCAGCGTGGACGTATGAAACGGCGGCCCCCCGGACACGTTCTATGACTGCGTCCTATGACTCAGAGCAGCTTTCCCCATGATAAGCCTACTCTGAGCTACACAGAAAGCCTCGTTCCACCCACTGGGACTAGAGGCCGTGGGAATTCCACGAGGGATGCTAACAGGGAGAAGCTGGGAGGCGGAGAATATTCCAGATGCTCAGATGCGGAAAAGGCTCTGGAAAGAAGCCTCAGAGATAGATGTCCTGCAGCTCCTTGCCAGCAGAGGCCCAGCAGGTGGCCGGGCCCGTTCGCTTCACTCCGCACAGAGCTTTCTGGCTGTTCCTGCTGCAGCTGGACGGGCCTCTGCATTTCCCGTGGCCTTCGAGCCCATCCCCAGAGCCCCTGCAGTTGGCTCATCATCTGTCTAGGCCTTGGTTGGCAAATCACACCCATGTCTATGAATAAAGTGAACCTGTCTTTGTAAATAAGATGTAAACTGTGTGGAAGACAGGCACGCCCTAGGGTTCGAGTCATCGGCAGCTGCCTGTGTGCGGCGGTGGCGGCAGCTGAGCCGGGCCTTGCGACAGGCCGCCCGGAAGGCCCGGGGCGCTGGCTCTCTGATCCCCAGGTCAGCCTGCCCCAGCCCGGGCCCGGGAGCCCTGTGCGTCTGAAGCTCCTGCCCCAAGGCAGGCCTTTACAGGAAGTCTCACTTCCCATCAAACCCTAGACTTTATTATTTTTAAAAAATCCCAGACTTTTAAATACAAAAATTTTAACATCAAAATACACACACGTAAAAAATACATAAAGCAAAACTATAAAATGAAATCTTAAACTCTTTCAGAAAAATCTGAAGGTGTTGCCATATGTTCCTACTAACTTGGGAAATAAATATCCATGAGTGCGAGGTACCCTGGGGGAGGTTTAGAGAGGCATCAGGTCAGAAAAAGCTGGCTTGTGGGTGTCATCCCCAGCGAGGGGGCGAGGCTAACTGAGACGTGGAAGCCTTAGCCCCGGGATCATCCCACTCTTAGGAACAAGGAACCTCAGCTCTAGCTGACGCCCCCTCCCCCCTCACAGCTCCACAGACCCCGTCCCAGAGGAACCCCAGGGAGGAGAAGCAAGACACCAAGAAGGGGGCGTGGCCGCAGCCCGGGCTCCCACGGAAAGCGCAGCCCCGTCCACAGCAGAGAGAGGCACCCTGCCCGGAACCGCAGCGAGCACGGAGAAAGCCCGCGAAAGCCACCTGCAATTTTCCAAGATCGAGTGATCAAAACAGAAACGTCGCAAAAGCCGAAAGTTAAATCAAATGAAAAGACAACTATTACCCAGAAACACTGTCAAAAACAAAGTCCTCTGAGTTCATGCCGGGCATCCGCAGACTGAGGTCCGAGGGGAAGAAAACCTGCAACATCAAGGGGATGGCCACAGCTGTCACCGCTCCAGGTTGCCAGGGGCCAGCGTCGGGGCCAGCACAAGAGCCCGTGGCTACAGCAACCCACTACTGGTTCAACATTCGTTTGGAAACCTAGTTTTACCTCTACAAAGACTTAAAAAAGACAATTAAAAAGAAAGCATCCATTGCACATGCCACCCAATTAAGTGAAAACCATCTGAATGAGTAACCCAAGTGCTTCGCCGATTCCCTTCCGCCTTTCCCACACAGCCTATCCTGTTCAAGTTCAAGAGCCTGCAACCAATGTCTCATAACCGTCAGGAGTCAGCGCCGTCGTGGCACCACGATGGGACAGGGTGTCAAGTTCACACAGGGCTGGGGGGACTTTCTCAGGAGCGTTACTCCTCCACTCCCGTCTCCGTGAGCAGAGACACCCCCTCCCCCAACACCCTGGCCCACCATGCAATCCAGCTCCAAACGCCTTCAGTGCTAACTTCTACCGGAGGCGATGCTCACCCTCCACCTCAGAAGCATTTGCAGCTCACACAGCACACCACCTCCCTGCCAATACCGCCGAACCACAAACACACGATAAACCGTTTTACACAGAGACCAGCTGCAGGGAGCTGGCTCTGGCCTAGAACAAAAGCCAGAAACACGCTGGGGATCTCTCTGTTGTTGATGAAAAACTGCGTCTGGGGTTTCTCCTTCTCCTTCTCCAGCAAATCACGGTGCTGATATCGTAATTGTTAACTCAGCTGCTGGTAAGATTAGCCATGCGCCCCTGATGATAATGTCTGGTTTTATAGGTTTAGTTTACAAATTACAGCCAGGGGCCTTTTCTCTTAAAAAAAAAAAATAAAAAATAAAAATCCCAAACACTTTTGTCCCTAATCCACGCACTCCAGGCTGAGTTTCAGGCTTACGTAACAAGGAAGAGGCGGAACCCGATACTTAGACAACCGCGGCCCCCTCGGGAAGATGCGGTACCTCCTGCACGCCCTCCTTGAAGGGCTCTGAGAAAGTCGAGTCTGGCGTCCGCCTCTGCGCATTGGGGGGCTGGGCCGCAGAGCTGAACTGGTCCGTGCTGAGGTTCCGGTCGAAAACCACCACCCGCTCGGTGGGCTCGGGATGGTACACTGCCGGAGGGACCCCCACCGCGAAGCCGTGCGGCTGGGCTTCCGTCTTGATGGAGTGGGTAGGCATGGTTGCTATGGAGACGGTGACTGTTGTGTCTGGAACTGTTAGGTGCCCTCTCTTGTCGATGCCCAGTTGGTTGCTGTGGGGAAGGACGATGTTGAAGGGCACGTTTTTCAGAACTTGCACTCTGTTCTCTCCGGCAGAAACGAGGGGCTGCTCCGTCACATTTGGCATGCTGTTTCTTAAGAAAGCAAAACCTGTTTCACTGCCAATCCAGTACTTCCACCATTTTTATTACTTATTTACTCATTCATTCATTCATTTAAAATCCTCACCTGAGGATATGTTTGTGTTGTTGTTTTCTGTTTTGTTTTTAAATATATTTTTATTGACTTCAGAGAAGAAGGGAGAGGCTAGAGAGATAAGAAATATCAATGATGAGCTGAAACTGGTTTGGCTCAGTGGATAAAGTGTCGCCCTGTGGACTAAAAGATCACAGGTTCGATTCTGGTCAAGGGCATGTTCCTTGGTTGTAGGCACATCTCCAGTAGGGAGTGTGCAAGAGGCAGCTGATCAATGATTCTCTTTCATCGATGTTTCTAACTCTCTATCCCTCTCTCTTTCTCTCTATAAAAAAACAATAAAATATCTTAAAAAAAAAAAAAAAAAAAAGAAATATCAATGATGAGAGTCATTGATTGGCTGCCTCCTGCAACTTCCTACTGGGGATCTAGCCTGCAACCCAGGCAAGTGCCCTGACAAGGAATTGAGCCCTGACCTCCTGGTTCTTGGGTGAAGGCTCAATCACTGAGCCACACTGGTATGTTTTTATTGATTTTAGAGACAGAGAGGAAGGGAAAGAGAGAAAAAACAACACACTGATGTAAGAGAGAAACATCGATTGGTTGCCTTGCATACACCCACAAATGTTTCGCTTCCTCTCTGAAATAAAGAATGTTTTTTTTTAAAAAGTTGAAGAAGCCAAAAGTAGATTAAACAAGAGGAATTATGTTGTAACTATTCCCACATAAAGGTACATGTGGGTTTATAGTATTTCTCTCCTTTTGCTGTTTGAATATTCCCATAATAAAAAGTAAAAATAAAAGCCATAAGCCCTTTGCCAAGGGGTAATTATGAAGACTAAACAGTAACATGGAACATACTAAGTACAAGAACGCTTATACCAACCCCTATCTGTGACTACAACTCAACCACATAAAATATGCACACAGACCCAAAGGGTAAACACAGACACTGTCAGCACAGTGGGTTCTGAGTGGCTATTCTTTCTCTAAAACTGTTCTAATCCTTATTACTAACTAGAGGCCCAGTGCACAAAAATTCGTGTACTTGGTGGAGGGGGGGTTTCCTCAGCCTGGCCTGCACCCTCTCGCAGTCCGGGAGCCTTCAGGGGATGTCTGACTGACAGCTTAGGCCTGCTCTTTGTGGGAGGCAACCGGGCGGGCCAATTAGGGGACGGCACTGGCCAGTGAGCATCTGGCCCCATCCCCATCACCCTGCCACTGCCACTGCCACCAGCCTCCCTCTGCGGGAGGCGACCGGGTGGGGACAGGGTGGGCCAATCAGGGGATGGCTTCAGCCGGTGAGTGGCCGGCCCTGTCCCACCCTCCATAACCCCACCACTGCCACTGGTCACCGCTGCCTCACCATCGCCATCTCCTCCCTCTGCCTGCTGGCACATGCCTTGGCTGCCTGGCCACACCTGCTTGCCAGCCCGGCCCCCCACAGCTGGTTATTCCACCATTCGGTCAATTTGCATATTATGCTTTTATTATATAGAATACAACACAGGGCAGTTTTTAACCTTCACCAGAGGATATTTTTCTATTGATTTTAAGAGAGTGGAAGAGAGAACGAGACAGACAAAGAGAGAAATGTCAATGTGAGAGAGACACATCAATTGGTTGCCTCCCACACATGCCCCAACCAGGGCTGGGGATGGAGCCTGCAACCGAGGTATGTGCCTTTGATTAGAATTGAACCAGGGACTCTCCAATCCACAGGTTGACTCTCTACCCACTGAGCCACACTGGCTAGGGCAAACATAGGGCAATTTTAAAGGTACATTTAAAAATTTTTATGGCTATAACATCAAGCCTTAATTTAGTTTTCTGCAAGTTTTAACCTAAAATATATTAAAAAACAAACAAACAAACAAAAAAAAAAAACTTCAAGAGGAGTTTGGAATACAGTCGCATTTACTTTATTAAGTTTTGCTTAGGCAGTTGTTCAAGATCGTTGGTGCTCTGTTTTCCTAATGGACCCCTCCCCCCTTACTGCTGTAAGCCACATCCTTCCCAGAGAACATCCAAGACAAATAAGCAGGCACTTATGTTAGCACTGACACACGCCTCTGGAGGCAGAGAAAGGCCCCGCCTCCCCAGGACCGGCCACTTGCAGGGCGACGATCACACGGTGAGAGGCCAGCCGTCAGAACCCACACACCCGCCTATCTACCAGCACTGTTCCCCTGAACAGACCCCCCTCACGGCCACAGACAACCCCATTTCTCGAGAATTGCCTGTGCTCCCCGCAGACTCACCTTTTGCTGTGCTCGGCTTCGGGGTGCTCCACGTCGGCCTTGGCGGCAGATGACCGCCTCTCTCGCGGCACCTGAGGCAGTGACACACATGACACAGTTCAGTCCTCACCCCGCCAAGTGCAGGCCCAGCCTGAACCCCAGGCTCCGGGACAGAACGAGCAGCGCCTGCCCCCAGAGCTGCCAGCCTCCCCACGTGGATGTGCAAAAGCCAGCACTCAGCTGCTGGACAGACTCAGGCACACATCGGCTGCCCGAGTGCGGGTTTCCCCGAGGAGCAGCACCGCCGGCCTGGTCTACCCACAGATCCACATAACGAAACAGACAGGATGCTACTGGGCACACTGGGCTCTTTCAGCGTTCTCGCTGCTCTTCGCTGCTACTCCTTCCAGACCGAAGGTCAAGCCAAAGGGATCGGTCACTCAGCCGTGCCTCCGAGAGCTGAAGGCTGGCTTCGAGTGGCCAGCTTAGATACTGGGGGATTGTCACGGTCCATTAGAAAAGGGCAAATCGAACCCAGTTTGCTCTATTCTTTCTGTTGTTGTTGTTGTTAGTCCTCATTGATTAATTTCCCATTGATTTTTAAGGAGAGTGGAGGAGAGAGGGGAAGATAGAGAGAAACATCGATGTGAGAGAAACACATCAATTGGTTGCCTCCTGTACGCGCCCTGACCAGGGCCCGGGTTGGGGAGGAGCCTGCAACCAAGGTCTTTGACCAGAATCAAATCCAGGACCCTTTGGTCCGCAGGCTGATGCTCTATCCACTGAGCCAAACCGGCCAGGACTCTTTTTTTTTTTTTATTCTACTCTTCCTTGCATAGGCGTTGAAAGCAGGCAGACATTCCAGGGAGTACTGCAGACATCAACCCAACTGAGCCTTCCTCCCAATGTGCACTCCAAAATGGCCAAGAGGTTTGAAACGTATTTTAGCCTTGAAGGAAAAAAAAATGTATTGTCTCCTGTGTTAATAACGTGCTTTTAAAGCGTTACCAAAGTTGTTATGTAAGAATGACTGATGGTTATACTTTAAAAAATGAAACATATAAGTCAGTTCATTTAAAAACAAACAAACAGCCCTGACCGGTTTGGCTCAGTGGATAGAGCGTAGGCCTGCAGACTGAAAGGTCCGGGGTTCAATTCCTGTCAAGGGCATGTACCTTGGTTTTGGGCACATCCCCAGTGGGGGTGTGTGCAGGAGGCAGCTGATTGATAGTTCTCTCTCACTGATGTCTCTATCCCTCTCCCTTCATCTCTGTAAAAAATCAATAAAGTATATTAAAAAAAAAAATAAAAACAAAGAGCCCTACCTGTCATGAGCAGTGTGGCGCAGAGCACTACGAAGATGGTCTCCCTTAATGCGCAGACACAAAAGCTTATCTCCTCCTCCTCAGATGTAAAATACGCTTAGGGCCCTTTATTTAACACACACACACACACACACACACACACACACACACACACACTCTGCCTCTAGTATCCTGGCATCAGTCTTCCCGGCACGCTCAGAAGTCTCAGTTATAAACATGTAACTTCAAATTCCTAATGAGCACTTAGGAGCTACGGCTTTACACTGACTGAGTCAGTGAAACAAGCCATCCAGAGAGCAGATGACGTAATAAGTTCCACTACAGGGAGCCTGTAGTGGCTGCTGCCCGGACAAGGGTTTCTCCAGCATCACTAGTTACTACGCAAGCTCCATTCATAGTCAGAGAACAAAATGATGCGACCTCATCCTGAAGCACAGCACGGTGACCCCGTGACCTCCTACCAAAAATCACATCTTCATGTAGGCCCCACCCTCATTTTGATAACCACACTGTCTTCTCGGCTTTCCCTCTGCATCCCTTGTGTTCGGGAAAGGAAACTGGGCCGGAAGGTACCAGAAGGCAGGCAACTGGTCAATCCAGGGGAAAGCATGAAGGAGCGAATGCCCCTGGTTTTTTTGAAGCTTCCTATGGGTTTGAAAGTTTTCAAAACAAAACGATGGCGAAACGGAAGTGCCATCAGCAGCCGCGCCCAGTAGTACCTGCTATTGGCCAAAAAGAAGCACAGCACATCCCCCGGGAGACAGCAGGCACACCGGAGAGGATCGCTTTGGCACACACCAGCCCAGGCCTGAAACTGGGTAAATACACTGCAAGGATTCTGGAGGTATCGGAGCGACACACACAGTGTGAGCATGTTCAGAGCAACACACACACTGTGAGCACGTCCAGCAGAGTCCAGGGGACCCGTGAGAGGCAGGAGAACGGCTAGGACAGAAAGGAACACAAAGTGGTGGTGCCACTCGGCCGGCGTGGCTCAGGGGTTGAACATCAACCTAAGAACCAGGAGGCCATGGTTCGCACAGGGCACAGGCCCGGGTTGCGGGCTCGATCCCCAGTGTGGAGCCGATCCATGATTCTCTCTCATCATAGATGTTTCTCTCCCCCTCTTCCTCTCCTTTCCTCTCTGAAATCAATACAAATGTATTTAAATAATAATAATAAATAAATAAAACAGAACAGGGGTGTCATGTATGTGAACACCATGTGAAACGCCAGCCAGAGGACAGGCTGTTTAATTAAGATGCATCCAAATCTCTAGAAACAGGAAATAAAATCGATCCTGACCCGAGAACTAGGAAGTCCAAGACTAGCAAATGTAGTTGGTTTTTCCTGAGTCCTGCAACCAGACCAAATCCAATCACAGGCATACTCCACAACCTCCTTTCGGGAAAAGGAAATGGCCTGATGACGCTGGAATGAACCCTGCCGCTCTGACAACTCCGAGAACCGCCTCCAGCCAATGGTCGGGAACCCCACCATCTTCCTTCACGCGGCTTCCCCTTCAGAGAGAGCGGGGCAGCTGGCCACCCTCCCGACTGAAAAACAGCCCTTTGATTCCAGGACTGGCGATGCTCGGCTTTGAACCGGAATGATTCAAAGCACTCATTAAACCATTTATGGTCACCACAGAAGCAATTCGCAGGACATCCTCCAGCAAATTACTGTTTTAATGCCGTGGAGCCTGGCGCCCGGCGCGGGCTGGGGTGCGGCCAGCGCACGGACCTTGTAGTAGTCGTAGAGCAGGCCCAGCGCCGCCGCGCTGTCCTCGTCGCCGTTGATGCTCATCATGGCCTTGGTTGCTGCCGTGAGAGGGTTCTCCAGGAAGGACTTCCAGGCTTCGTCCTCGCTGGTGTAGGAGCGCCGAGGGGGGTACAGGGCTTCATTCTGAAGAACCAACACCGGCCGTTTGCTTCGGGGAAATTAAGAAAACAAACATGTGTACACGTTTCTACTGCAAGGCATCCTAAGCTAGTTTTTAAAGAACTACACAACCAATCCATTGATGTTCCAATAAAAGAGTCCATTGTTTCGTCAACAGCCCAATAAAGTAAATTAAGACAAGACCAGAAGCCCGGCCTGGGCGTGGCTCAGTTGTGGAGAGCTGACCTATGAATCCAGGGGGTCCCGGTTCGATTCTGATCGGGACACAGGCCTGGGTTTCGGGCTTGATTCCCAACGTGGGGCATGCAGGAAGCAGCTGATCAATGACTCTCTCTCTCTCTCACTGATGTTTCTCTCTCTCCCTTCCTCTCTGAAATCAATAATGTATGTGTGTGTGTGTGTGTGTGTGTGTGTGTGTGTGTGTGTGTATAAAACAAAACCAGAAGACAGCCCACTTAGTTGCAGGCCGATGGGTCACCCAGGAAGATGGAAGGTTATGTGGGCAGCCGGGGAAGCTGCAGCTAGCCCACACATGGAACCCAGGACGTAGACACTACTTGGTAGGGGAGAAAGATACTTCAGGAAAATCCAGGCTATTCAAACACTTTATATACGAAAAAACCAAGGACACCAAGCGAGGCCAAACTGTTGATTCTGTGCAGAAACGCAATCAGGCTGAGCCCTCTTACAGAGAACATGTACGGCTCAGGCATCATGCTGCAACACGTTACTCCCGCGCTCCCCTGTGAGGCCGTGCCTTACAAACTCCTGCGCCAAGGAGAGAGGAGGGGGCGGGAAGAAGGGATCCTCCGAGTAATCCTCCGGGGGATGTGAGAAAGAATATTCCCCTGCTTACCGGTGGCCTGAGCAGGAATGTGCCAAAGGGGGCTGTAAATCAATACGCAGGCACAATTTTCTGGCCTGGGAGCTAACTGTTTATCTTGGAGATAAACGCATAAGAATCTACAACCATCCACAAAGCCACTAAACAGAAAAGTTTCTAAGCAAACAGGAGGGGAAATCTGGTTTTAAATTTTTTATACCATTTTTTCCACACGGGCGAGACCTGTTTCATTTTAACCCTGTAGTCGGGTGGGAAAATAATCCAGAGAAAAATCAACGTGGGTCTTAGTGAACTCTTAGAGAAGATTTGATTTAAGAGATTAAAGCAAACAGGACTGATTTAAAAAACTTGAAATGCAAACAGTCTCAGTTTGGCACTATTGAATAAGTCAATAAAGACAAAAAGCAGAACACTCGCTCCAGCCAAGAGAAGTGTGTTTAAGGGAAAAACAATGTTTAAATGTTCAGAACTACTCTGAACGATCACTATTCTGACAAGCAAACTTAGGTCCTCATTGCGACACACCAATGAAATCCGTGCACTGCCTAGAGGCGACCTCCCTCCTCTAAAAGTGAATGCAGAAAGAGATTATCTTCTCAGGCAATCAACAAGGGCTTGGCAACCACCCAGGCCCTTTAAAAACAGATACGGGTTTTTAAAACAGGAAAACACCTTTGAAAAGGGGAGGTGGGGGTGGGTGTAGGGAATCCGACAACTTAATTTATCCCCAGTCAAAAGTAAGTCTTATTTCAAAGCCGATGTGTTTCCGCATGCCTGGGCATACAGTCACGGGCGCTGATACTTGGTAGGAAAGGAAGTCTAGAGGTGGGGTGCTATCCTAACCCAAAACGAACCCCAGCGGCCGTTTGGGAAAGAGAGGAAGAGGAAGCAGCATTCGAAGCGGGGGGCCTTCCCCCGGGCCGCCAGGAGCAGAGCACCCCGGCGGCCGGGAACCGGGGAGCCGGGATGACGGTGGCGTCCGGCTAAGCTGTTATTAACAGTGCTAATAGCTGCTCCCAGCGGATTGTGACAGCGCTTGGCTCATCCCAGTCCCATAAAGCGAGTTTTTCAGCTTCCCCTCTCCCACGCCTCCCCGCCTGGTGGAAGCAACAGAAAACCCAGCAGTTTTTGCGAATCGTCTCACGTTCCCAAACGGTGCCCACGGCCAGGAGGCCGGCTTTGGACCTGTGCCTCATTAATCGTTTGCGTTAAGAAATAACCACCAACCCGGCTGCCTCTGTCCGCTTTCTCCGGGGACACGCCATGGCCAGTCCTCAGGCTCACCCCGCCTTGGGGGAGTCCTCTCCTTGGGTGACTTCCGGGGATCCCCCAGAAGAACCAGAACACCCAAGGGCCTAGGCTACAACCAAAGATCAGGATTCATTCCGCACTTAAACATCGAACCTACTCCTCTGGGAAAGCAGCACCCCGACACCCTGCTTTGGCTCGGTGCGGTTCTTTTCAATATATATATTTTTAAATTCTGGAACCATTTTATGTTTACAGAAAAGCTGCCAAGAAAACACAGGGCTGCCCCTCACCCCGTGGCCCCTCCCCGGAGCCGCTCAGGCGGCCACCACCTTCCGCGGCCAGAATCCGCCTTCATCACAAGCTCCGAGAGGCCGGCCGCCCGGTACCCGCAGCGCGTCCCCCGACGGCGCCGAGGGCTCCGGGCGCGGGGGCCGGGCTGGGGGTCCTCACTCCCGGGGGACGGCGGGCCCGCGGCCGCCCTGCGCGCACCTCCCGTGGCCAGTGTCCCCGGCGGCGCCCCGACCGGAGCGGCGGGCTCACCGGAGCCCCCACCTGCAGCCGCCCGCGGGCGCGTCGCCGGGCTCCGCGGGGCAGAGGCCCCGAGGGCGACCCGCTGGGCCCCGGGGAGAGAGGGGGGCGCCCGCGGTGGTCCCCTCAGACGAGGGCGCTGAGGCGGCGGAGGGGAGCGGAGGGGACCCCGGAGTCCGGTCTCCACGGCCAGGGCCCCCAGGGGGCTCCGGCGGGACCATGGCGCCGCGGGCGGAGGAGGAGCGGAGCCGGCCGCGCGCCCCCCGCCCGCCGCCCGCCGCCTCAGCGAGGGGCCCCGGCGCGGGCCGGAGCAGGTGCGGCGGCGGGCCGCGGGCGGCGGGCCACTCACTTGTCGTACTCCTGTGTCATCGCGCTCCTCGCCGCGGCGGGCCGCCCAACTGGACTTTCGGGTTCGGACGGTACAGCCGACCGGGGGGGAGGCGGCGGCGGGTCCGGAGCGGCAGCCCCGACGGGTTGGGTTCGCTTTTCTCGCTCTGAGCGGGGCCGCGCCGGCCGCGCGCCTGGGGGCCGGGGGCGGGGCTTAGGGCCGAGGGCGGGGCTTAAGGCGGGACTTGGGGCGGGGCTTCGGGCGGCGCCTCCTGATTGGCCGGCGCGCGGGGCGCCCGGACGGGACCGACCGGGCCCGCCGCACCTGACGGGGCGGCGGCGGGGCCTCCCGCCCGGGACATCCCGCCTCGCGCGCACCTGCCGCCCCGCGGCCGCCTCCGCGCGCCCACCCGGGCGGCCGGCCCCGCGCCGCCCTCCTGGGGGCCGGGCCCGGGCGCCGCCTTCCCGGGCGCGGGGCGCTCTGCCTTCGCCGCCCTCCCGCCCGCGCCCTCGCCGCCGGCGGCCGCACCCGCTCGGCGCCCGCCCCCGCAGCCCCGTCACCTCCCGGTTCGCGTCCCCTCGCTCAGGCGGCCTCCGGCTTGGCGCCCGGGAGCACCGCGTCGCCTCCTCGCCTGCCCGCCGCCCGCGCCCGGCTCCCGGCCCCTGCGCGCCCGTCGCACGTGGCCCCCGTGGCAGCCCTCGGCCCTCCGCGGCCTCCTGGCCGGTTCCCCTCGGGTGGAGGCGGGTGGGCCCCCGCCGTGTGGCCTCCCTGAGCCGCCCGGTCCGGTGTTGCCATTCCCCTCTCCTGGGCCCGCCTCACTGCGGGACCCGCCAGGCTCCCACTTCCAACCTCTGCCTACCCCCTGAGCCCTGGGTCCCCTGGCCTCAGCTCCCCCCCCCCCTGCAGGCCCCTCCCTCCAGTGCTCCTTCCTCCGGCTCCCTCCATCCATCCATAGTCCGCCGGCCCATCCATCATCCATCATCCATCCATCCATCCATCCTCCATCCATCCATCCATTCATCCATCATCCATCCATCCATCATCCATCCATCCATCCATCATTCATCCATCCATCCATCCATCGTCCACCCAACCATTCATCGTCCATCCCTCCATCCATCCATCCATTCATCCATCATCCATCCATCCATCATCCATCCATCCATCGTCTGCCCGTCCACCAGTCCTGCCCCCTCGCCTCCAGCAGCGGTGCTGGAAGCCTGCGATGGTGCGGAGAAAGCAGGACCAACGCCTGCAACTCGGGCTGGAGAGGGGCCGGCGGAGGAGGCAGAGGAGGAGAACGATGGAGGGGGACCCACCGCTGCAGGAGGAAAATGGGAGCCGAGAGAAGAAATGAGACCGCGGGTGGTGTGGTCGGAGGGTCACATGCTGCCAGGGGACGAGGCTTTAGCCACACGGAGGCCACGGCCTTCATTCAGCTCCAGCGGCCGCTCCTCTGCTCCCGGCAGCTCCCTGCCCCGGTGCTGGGCCCCTTGAGACGCGGACACTCTGACTGCACCCTCCTGCGTTTGCAGCTGCTGTCCCTCAGCCTGGACAGTCACCGGAGCACGGAGCCTGTTCTTCCTGATTCTCTGCGTTTGGTTTAAATACAGGACATTTTAAATGATCTGTTTTCAGAAAAACATTAAGTACATTTCCTTCTCCATCCGACCCTAACATATATTTCTAAATGTGTGTCCCAGTCAGAAGCCCTCCCCCCCCCCTTCCCCTCCCAGTGCCTGGGCCCCGACACCGTGTTCCCCCAAACACCTCTGGGGACCTCAGGCCCCCAGCCGGCACGCCATCACTTCCTCCCCTCCCTCCCATCCCCCGTCTGCCCACCAGGCCCACCTCCATGCCTTCTCCTGCCAGCGCCCAGCCAGCCATTCACGCAGTGCTCTGCCTTTTGCTGACTCCGTTCTGCCTGAGTCTGAGGAGGCGCCTCTGAGTCCATCAGAGCTGGGTTCGAATCTCTGCCCGCCTGCTTTTACACTGAGCCTCTGCCCCTCTGCCAGGCCCGAGGGCTCGTCCCCACGAGGAAACCTGGGCCCGCTTCGTGGCGCTGAGAGAAGGCAGTGGCGCCCACAGTGCCAGGCGCCATGACACTCCGCCGTGGCCATCCTCTGCGGAGACGAGGGGGCAGGGGCCCTGGCCAGTTCCTCGAGGGCTGTGTGGGGTGGCCGGGTGACCGAACCCTAACCTGGCCAGCCCCTCGCATGCAGGGCCACGCCCTGGTGAAACAGCGACCTCCAAGGGCCCTGACGTGGCTCCGCACAATGGCCAGCCTGCACGCCTGACATCCGACGGCCGGCCCGCCCGCCCCGTCCGTCAGCGCCGCTGCGAGCCGAGAGCCGGCCATCGGGAGGGACCGGCGTGGCGGGGACAGGGTGGCGTCCCCGCCCTCCTCGCAGCTCTGTGACTCAAGGAGCCACTTCACGTCTGAGCCCGGTGTCCTTGGCGGGGACTGTGGGGTCACGACCCCTCTCACCCACAGGGTGGTGGGTTTGGTTTTGTCCCGGGAGGTGCCTCCAACAGCGCCGGGCCCGCTGGGCTCCATCAGAGTGAAACGTCTCACTGCCGTGTTTTCTTACAGCGGGGGACAGACACCGCGTCTCCTCCCAAGAATCCGCTCACAGCCTGGCACGGGCACCTGCGTGTGATGGGGCCGTGGTCGGCAGACTGCGACTTGCAGCCCTGGAGTGTGGCTCTCCCACAAAACACCACGGCCTGGGCGAGTCTGTGTTGAGGAAGTGGAGTTAGAAGAAGCTTAAGTTTAAAAAATGTGGCTCTCCGAAGAAATGTCAGTCGTCGTCCTGTTGATGATTGGTTCTGTGGACTGATGAGTTTGCCGACCGCTGTTACAGAGGATCGGTCCTTTATACTCAGGAAGTAATGACACTAGACTTCCTCTGGCAGAGTTCCCTGTGCCAAGTGCTCCCGTGCCTGAGCTCATTGGATTCTTAACACACCCCTGTGAGCCCGGCTGGGGTGGCTCCGTGGTTGAGCGATGCCCTATGAACCGGGAGGTCACCTTTGATTCTGAGTCAGGGCACAGGCCCGGGGTGTGGGGCGTGCAGGAGGCAGCCAATCCATGATTCTCTCTCATCAGATGTTTCTCTCTCCTTCTCTATCTCTGAAATTAATTTAAAAAAAAAAAACGTTTTGAAAATAAAATAATGTCCATTTAAAACGGCTGAGCTGTTGCCCCCACTTTGTAGGTGGGAAACCAGCGAAGAGGGTAAGTCCCTCCCCAAACCTGCCTTTCATCGCAGCGGCCCTTCCCCGGCGGCTTTCCTGGGCTTTTCCAGTGCTGTGGGCCTCGCTTCTGCCCGTGTGGAGGGGCTGCTGCTGGTGAGCACTGTCAGAGAAAAGCTGGCAGGTAGGTAGGCTCGAGGCAGTGGCAAATCCGGAGAATTTGTGGCCAGCCACTGAGCCACGCTGGCCACCAGGAACTCTGTTAACATGTAGCTTGAGGACCAGGCAAAGCACACAAAGTGCCTCTTAGTGCGTGCCCGCTCTTTACAGCAGAGCACACCTCCCCGCTCACTCTCCCTGACAGGCCCAGGGTGGCCCGCACTCTCCCGCAGGCTGCGGGGGAGTGGACGGGAACCAGTCCGTGGCTACAGAGCGTGTGGGAAATGTTGCCCATACTGTTTATCTTGGTGAATTCTGTTTCTCGCCCAGGTCACTCATGTCTTAGCCGCCGGATCTCCCGCCCAGCCCTCGGGGGTACATGTGCATGGCTGAATCACGGTCCAGCACTCAGGCTGTCTGACCGGAGGCCGAGGCCCAGGGGCGGGTGCGCTCCGGAGCTTGGGGAGGAGGTGGGGAGTGGAGGAGAGGGCGCTGCAGCAGGGTCCCGGAGGGATGGGCTCTCCTGAGAAGAGAATAGCCAAGGCCTTGAGGTTGAGACATCCCCCGGGCTCAGGAGCCCCTTGCCTGAGGCTGAGGGAGCAGGGCAAGGGAGGCGACACTAATGGAACCCCCCCACCTCCACCCCACCTCACCCCACCCCACCCCACCCCACCCCCGCCCGCCAAGCCATCGGCTGTAGGCCGCAGGAGCGAGGACTGGGAGTGAGGACTGGGCGCCTCCCCGGGTCAGCAGATCTATTTGGGGCCACCTGGGAGAGGCATGGCAGGGTCTTAGGAGGGAGAGGCTCTTGCAGCCCACAGGAGCCGCATGCTGGGGGCCTGCGCTGGGCAGGGACGCCTACAGGCCTGGAGAGTCACCCGGCGGTGGAACCACCTGTGAGTGACGGGTGAGCTGCGGGGGTGACAGGGAGGGAGGGGCTGGCGGTGGGTGACTAGGCCACGGGCTGCGATGAGACACAGGGTGCTAGAGGACAAACAGGTTTGGGGGTGAGGATATACCCCAGCCATAGGTGCTGAAGTTTCCTCTTTTGGAGAGAGTGGCACTGGGGTCCTTACATTCGAGCCTGGCATGGCCGGGCCAGGGGGTTACCGGGGAGGGCGCTAAGGCCTCCGCGGCTGGGAACCAGATGCTGGAGCGGCAGCCGGGACAGACCGGCTGCTCCTTGTCTGTGAAATGACAGAGACCATGTCGTAGGGTTTCTGGGGGGAAAGAGGCGAGGTGCCCGCAGCCACGCTGGGGCCTCGCTCAGGGTTCTGGGACCTGGGAAGAGGGCTCCTTCGTCCTCTGAGCAAAGCATCCCCGGTGAGGAGGGGCAGGGCGGGTTAGCACTGATTCTTTCCCTTCTTCTTAGGCAGCTGGGTGCCAGTGGAAGGAAAACACCCAAAGATAACAAAGACCTGGAGACACCCAGCCCTGAGCTGGCCTCCTCTCTGGGCGTGAAAGGCCCCGCTTGTGTGGCAATGGCAGCCTGCCGCCCCCTCAGGGAGATAAGGCGCCTGGCTCCTCGCCCTGCCAGCCATCATTACATCCCTCACTGGTGCTGGCTGACCCGACGGGCCAGGAGCCAGCGCCGTCAGGAGACACAGAACCTCAAGCTGCCTGAAGAAACCGCCTTTTCCCCAAGGATTAAGAGGGGGGACCCCACACATAACAAACCTGTGTTCAAAACGTATGGGACGCCCCGGTGGATTAATGAGGTTTGGGGGCCAATGTTCTGTTTTCTCGTGGGGATAGACTCTCATTGTACATTCGCTGATTTAATTTTTTTACTTAAAAAAGCTTAAAGCTTTTGTTTTAACCTGCTGTGCCTAAACCTTTAATTGCTACAGTTGTAGATAGATTTCTCCAGCTATATGAAGTGAGAAGTCATGTAAAATGTTCAGTACAAGGCAGGTGTGTAATAACTGCTTCACATGATGCTCGGATGATCTGCATTTGATGCTAAGCCCACGAACACCATGAGACGTCACTCAGCTCCTGCACATCCGCTGTGTTTGCATGGCTGTGAGCTCAGAGGCCCGGAAGCCCAGAGGCCTGGAACACGCATTCTCCCCACAAGGGTCTGCCTTCCACTCGCAGCCCCAGGCGCCTCCCTTTCCCAGTACGATCGGCGGGTCTGAGACCAGGGAGATCGCACCTCAGTGGTAGTTATGTTTCTCTGCAGTGGTGTGGAACTTAAAACGATAAATAAGATTTGTTCATAAAAGGGATTCCCCCCAAATCAGCAAAGATCGAGTCTAGTGGCGAACACGCCTCGCCGCCTGAAATGACATGGCGCCAGGGAGCGTGTCTCGCAGGAGTGAGGCTGCCTCCCGCCCCGTCCTTTGTCCGGGCTCTCTCCGTGCCTCCTGGTTCAGAGGCATCTGTTCCGTCTCTTGCACACCCGGCGCTCCGCTGATCCACTCAGATTATTCCTTCAAGTGCTACCCCTTCTCCTTCCATTCCTGCTGGCCTTCGACTACAGACACATGACCCATCTCGCCTTCTGCCTCTGGTTCCGGGCTTAGGAAGTCCTTCCCTGTTCCAACATCCCCAGAGCCTCCAGGCCTGTTTTCCTCTAACGCTTACAAACGACCAGAATGTTTGATCTGTGATCCAGCTGGGGTTTACTTTGGGACATAAAGAACAAGGAAGTGATCTAGTTTAAAAGGCAAATTTAGCTCTAAAATAGAATGAATAGAAATATCTGGATACCATTTACATAACATTGCTTTTTAATTTTCTCAAAAAATATTTGTAATTAAAAAAATAAACTCAAAGCTCATTTATATACACATTATAAGCACAATCGACATATCTATGTACTATATGTATGTGTGTCTATGTATGGATATATAGGCAAAAAATTCTATTTTCCATACTTCTCTGGACCTGTTATATTACAATTTGATATTACTGTCACTATTAAAATATTTTTCCTAGGAAGTTTCCATCTTGCTTTTCTCATTTTCGCACTTTCCTGGATCTTGAAGGTTTCGTTTTTGGTTTACTGTATTTTGTCTTAAAAAGTCTCTTTTCAATTAAGCTCACTTCTTCGTGGAGGAAGTAGGTCTTTATCCTTAGCAGGAACGAGAAGAGATTTATTATAAACTGGTAACTCAGCGAGAAGTTGGACTCTTCATAGGTCGTCACATGCTTACAGTAGCTAGAAGGAAGCAGAGATGATGTTATCTGCAAATGGCCACCTGGAATGCCTGCCTCTGCCCCATCATCTCCCCCATAACTGAACATGCAGATACGTTTTGGCTCAGAACAGGCATCTGAGCTGAAAGGAAACAGACACTGTGGGAAAACTCCTGTACCCACAGGCAAGAGTGTGGCCCTGCCCCTGGCCACCACTGCAGGGACAACGGGGGACCGGAGCCAGCCCTCCCAGCTCCTGGCCCAGGGCTCTGCCACTCCTTCCCAGGCCCCCACTTCTTACCACGACCCAGGCAACAAAGCAGAAGGCAGCGGTCCGGGACCCATTTTAAAACAAATAAAAGAAAGCAAATGCTCCCCACTCCTACCCAAAAGAAGACACCAGACGTGATGAGGCAGCCTCCAACCCTGTGCCTGTCACAGGGACAGTCCCCGCAGCACCCTCTTCTACAGCAGCAGATCCTGCCTCTGACACAGCCCCCAACTTCCACCCAATCTCTCCTCAAATCGCAACCTCACTGCCCCGAGGCAGGCCATGCGGGGACACGGGACCGTGACTCCGTCTCTCTGTGCGGGAAGCTGTGCAGAACTCATGACCTCATTACTCAGCCAGCAGAGTGCACGGGGACAGGAGATAAAGGAGGAATTTACCGACTAACCACCTACGGCATATCTCAGCCACAAGCAAGGTATGGACAGCACTTGGATTCCGGGTTATTTAAAAAGTACATGGCGATCGGGAATCTAAAAAGTGACTGCATGTGTGATAATATGAAGGGATTATTATTAGTTTATTTTATGTCTGATCAATAGTATTATGGCTTTGTTTTAAAAACACATATATATTTTTAGCCAGGCTGGCGTGGCTCGGTAGTTGAATATGGATCTATGAATCAGGAATCACAGTTCAATTTCCAGTCAGGGCACATGCTTGGGTTGTGGACTTGATCCCCAGTGGGGGGTGTGCAGAAAGGCGACCGATCCATGATTCTCATCATTGATGTTTCTCTTTCCCTCTACCTTCCTCTCTGAAATCAATGGAAATATACACACACACACACACACATACACCCTCACACACACACACACATTTAAATCCTCAGCCAAGGACATGGTTTTTTAAAAAATATTTTTATTTTTAAAAAAATATAGATATTTAAAAATATATATTTGTATTTATTTCAAAGAGGAAAGAAGAGGGCCAGCACCCGTTTGGCTCAGTGGATAGAGCGTCGGCCTGCGGACTAAAAGGTTCCGGGTTCGATTCCGGTCAAGGGCATATACCTTGGTTGCGGGCACATCCTCAGTAGGGGGTGTGCAAGAGGCAGCTGATAGATGATTCTCTCTCATTGATGTTTCTAACTCCCTATCCCTCTCTCTTCCTTTCTGTGAAAAATCAATAAAATATATTAAAAAAAAAAAAAAAAAAAAAAGGAAAGAAGAGGGAGAGAGAAACATCAGTGATGCGAGAGAATCATTGACTGGCTGCCCCCCCCCCCCCCCCCCCCCGGGATCGAGCCCACAACCTGGGCATATGCCTCTGACTGGAATCAAACCTGGGACCCATCATGGAAAACTCTATCCATTGAGCTAAACCAGCTAGGGCTAAATGTATTTTTATTGATTTCGGAGAGGAAGGGAGAGGGAGAGAGAGAGAAAAACATCAATGATGAGAAAGAATCATTGATCAGCTGCCTCCTGCACACCCCACACTGGGGATGGAGCCCACAACTCAGGCCTGTACCCTGACCGGGAATGGAACCATGACCTCCTGGTTCATAGGTCTACACTCTGCCATGGAGCCATGCTGGCCGGGCTGTATGTGACTGTTTTAATTAGAGAGAATGCTCCTCCAGGGCAGGCTAGAGACTGTGTCACGTTTCGCACCCTCTGCCTCTGCGGGCCACCCACCTTCTGCAGAACCTCTGAGTGCTCAGCCAGTAGAGCGAGTTCCGGGTCCTGAGCGAGCGGCCTTTCCTGCACAGGATGCCCCGGAGGCGGTGCCCGTGGAAGCAGACTGCACCGGGGCCCTCTCCCGCCCAGCGGAACTGGAAACTGGAAGGGCTGTGTTTGGCAGCTGTCGGTGCCGAGTCAGCCAGCGTGCTGAACTGTTTCTGCAGGTTCACCACCATCTCTGGAAATGGAGGGAAAGGGACGGAATAAGGAAAACCAAAGTTAATTCCAATAAAATCGTAGTTCACTTGATAGCAATGCCCCAATGCTGGTTTCTTAGTATGACCATGCGTCATCAGTGACACTGGGAGACAGGAAGCGGTGAGGGGTGTAGGGGACTGCCTACAAAGGCTGAGATGGTAACTGTTATCACACACACTTCACCGCACTCATGAGTAAGACAACCTGAAGGCAACTCTCCACAGAGTTCTGGAAGGCAGAGGAAGTGTTTAGATTTGGGGGAGCCTCCGCTATTTGGCTATTTGGGGAAGTAGCTTCCTGAGGGGTTTCCTGGGGGGCAATGCGGTCTGGGGTCCCAGGAAGCATGTTGTGGGCACTCACTTCCAGCCGGGCCCTGACACACACACACACACACACACACACTCACACACACTCACACACACTCACACACATCACACACACGCTCACTCACACACACACATACACACTCACACACACACACTCACACTCACACACACTCACACACACTCACACACACTCACACACACACACTCACACTCACACACACTCACACACACACACACACACACACACACACACACTCACACACACACTCACTCACACACACTCACACACACTCACACACACACACTCACACACACTCACACACACACACACACACACACACTCACACACACACACTCACACACACTCACACACACACACTCACACACACACTCACACACACACTCACACACACACTCACACACACTCACACTCACTCACACACTCACACTCACACACACACTCACTCACACACTCACACACACACACACTCACACACACTCACACACACACACACACTCACACTCACACACACCCCCCCCGCTGCTGCTCGGTGCCGATGAGAAAAGGCAGCTCACCCCGCCGCTTGTGCGCCACGGACCTGTCGATGGGCGAATGGTAGAGCGGCTTCTCGCTTTTCCACACGAACCTGTGGAGGCAGACCCGCTGGGCAGAAGCGGACCCCGCCCCTCAGCGCCGGCCCGGCCCGACGCTCCCAGTGGCACAGAGTGAGGGTCCCGCCAGGGAGTGCCCCTGCCTCTCCCACAGCGGAGCCACCCAGGGGACAGCGGGTTCTCCTGGCTTCGCCCGCGGCCCTGTGCTGAGGGAAGTTAGTGGTTCTGGTTCTGATGCCCAGATGTGCCTGGAGTCACGCCTCTCCTGGAGAGGAGGAGAGGGGAGGAGCAGGAGGGGGAGGAGGGGAAGAGGGGAAGGAGGGAGGAAGAGGAGGAGGAAGGAAAAGGGGAGGGAGAAGAGGGGAAACAGGTAGGGGAAGAGGGGTCTGGGTTCCAGCATGACAGTCCCACCAGCCCCTGCACTGATCACCCTCCGCACCTGGGGAGCCAGCCAGGGCGGTGCCGCTGTAAAGTGGAGGTGCTGCTCCCCAAACACACACAGCGTCCCCTCCAGAGCAGAGGCCAAGGGCGCATGGGCCCTCCCAGGCGGGTGGCAGCCCAGCAGGAGCGACAGGCTCCGTTCGAGTTCCTGCCTAAGGCGACGGCTTTCCCGACTTACAGAGTAAGGCCTGCCTCCTTCCCGCCCAGCCCGTTACCACTCTGAGGGCGTCGCAGCAGCCAGGGACCGGCTCGGGGCCCAGGCCCTGCCCATTCCCAGGCATGACCACAGGAGCCACAAATGCTGGAGGTCCGAAGGCAGAACCGGGCCCTCTCCCGAGCCCCCAGGCTGGCGGGAATGGCACGTGGGAAGGACTCGGTTGAGTATTTGGTGAAGAATGACTGGACAAATAAGTGAACAAACCAAAGGATTCCACATCTCTAAGTCTGCCCACCTTCACAGGTGAGGGCCGCTGTGAGGAGAGGTCAAGGTCATGCCATAACCCCGCACCCTTGTTAGAATCAGTTCTTACCCAGTGCTGACCAAGGGTCTGGCTAGTAGACACTCAAGAAATATCTGTTTTTTTACCCAAAAAAAGCTGGTAAGGAACAGAGAGCCAGAAACCGAAGGTACATTTAGGCGCAAACTCCGTCCCGGAGGCCACGGGTTAGTAACCTGCCCGCAGGCTCAGAGCAGGCTCTCCCCTTCACCACAGCGACCCTCGTCAGAACGAGAGCTCACAGCCACGGGGACAGACCCTGGGAGGGCCGTTATCGCCGGAGAACTTTCCAATGAAAGAAAAGCTATTAGAAAACAGCGGCTAGTGTCTCCAGAACAGGGGGCACACCGCTGACGAGTCAACTGCTGGCACCTCAGCTTTCACATGTGAGAGACAGGCTCGGAGAGAGGAGGGGAATCGAAGATCTGCGGGATGACGTACTTTGCCCTGGCTTCCTCCCATTTTTGTTTTTTCTCATCAAAGGATTTCTTCATAACGTGGTACCATTTTCTGAAATCAAAACATGGCTTATCTGAAAAACAAACAAACAAACAAAAAAACACCCATGATAATCAAATTAGTCAATCATAATAACATAGTTATTCACCTGGATCTTCATTCACTGACACAATGAAACAGCTATCCATTAGCTCTCGGAAATCACAGATGGAGTCCACTTTCGGCTTGTCTGCCTGTGGTGCCTGCAGCACCTACTGTAAGTCAAACAGGCTCCATGTGCTTGACAAACACAGACACTCGATGAGGGACAGACATGCTCAGTCCACGGGCTGCAGTCAATGTGCCGCACCTCTAACAGAAGTGGGACGGGAGCGGCTGGGCAGGAGCGATGATTCTGACTTGGACAAGGTGATGGGGAGCAGGCGAGGAGAGGTGTTGGGTGCACCGTGAACAGTGCAGATGGACTTGCAGGGGCTGGGGATTGGGGGGTGGACCTGGGGGGCAGGGGGGAGACGGGAAGAGCACTTCGGGTAGGAGAGCCAGTGTGAGCAAAGGCTGAAGGCACAGTCACAACACTGCCCGGACGTTCACAGCCTAGCGTGGCTGGTGAGTAGATGCCGGGAGCAGGAGAGCAGCTGGCCTTTGCACACAGTAGGACAACTATAACCAGGTCACTGTGTGAAAGAGTCCCGGGACAAGGCACCATTTGTCCATATGCATCTGTACAAGTATATTTCCAAAGTCTTCTCTACACTTGTTGATCTTTCCACCCACTGCTTATCTCAGAACTGGATTGATAAAAAAAGGAAGTACCTTCTCTGTTCTCTTGGTTATAAGTCTCAGCAATCTCCGACAGAGACCTGGAGACGGCAACAAACAAGTCAGCTGGTTTGGAAATCACTATAGGAGAGTGGAATTTGGATTCAGCGGAGAGACAAGAACGAGCAGTCCTTGGCACGGACGGGAAGCCCTCGCTGACGGGAGGGGGACACCACCCGGGCTGCCTCCCGGCTTCCCGAAGGAGCTGAGACGCACAGGCCGGGAGCCCACGGGCCCGTGGAGGGCGGGAGCGGGCTCTCTAGGACGTGCAAAGGTTAAAACGCAGGAGCCAGTGGAACATGAGAAACGTGCATCTACCCAAAAACTAGCAATAAAGCACGCTACACACAACGCGCTGCAGACACAGGCACGGAGTCAGGACGGCGCCTGACCGGCAGCCGAGTCGCCGGCTCACAGCCCAGAACGCAGAGGGCCTCTCCATGGAGCGCGTGGCCTCCCCCCTCTGAATGGGCAGAGCAGCCCCGCCCCCGGGATGGGCCTCCCCCCTCTGAACAGGCAGAGCAGCCCCGCCCCCGGACAGCGGGAGGGGCCTCACCACTCCACGTGGTCGTCCAGCAGGAAGAGCAGCTTCAGCACCACCACGATGATGGCCGCCGCCTGCACATCGTACTTCACGGCCCGCGCCCGGGTGCCGATGGGGTCGAAGGTCAGGATGTCCGCCTCCCCGAGGCCGGCCATCTGCACCACCTGGCGGGTGAGGTCGTGCATCTCGTCTACGGAAGGAAGAGCAGTGAGGCAGGAAATAACAAAAACACGAGCTTTATCCTCAAACACGGGGCTGCCCGGTCGGCCGGCGTGGCGCGGTGGCTGAGCGTTGACCTGTGGCCAGGAGGTCACGGTTTGATTCCTGATCAGGGAGCAGCTTGGGTTATACAGGCAAAGTCTCGTCTCACAAAACTTGGAATGGGAACATCATCATCATTTTTATCATTATAAAGAATGGCATTTCTTGAAAACTATTTTAAATTAATATCTTAAACTGCTTTTCTTACATCAAAAGTAGAAATAGAAAAGCAAACGGCCCTGGCCAGCATGGCTCAGGGCTGAAGTGTCAGGCCCGAGAGTCTCGGGTCTGATTCCAGGTCAAGGGCACATACCCAACTGCAGCAGGTTCAGTGCCCAGTGGAAGCATGTGCCCGTCCCCTGCACGCAGCACACGGGCTGTCAAACCGCCGTGTACCATGGGTTACATGTCGGAAGCATGTGCCCGTCCCCTGCACGCAGCACACGGGCTGTCAAACCGCTGTGCGCTCCCAGCACCGCCCACACCCACGGAGCGCGTCCCCTCCGAGCAGCCCGCGCTTGTCAGGGGGTTGAGGTGCTTTCGAAGGATGTGAAGTGAAGCTTTGTGTTGCGACGGCCCTGATGGTCTGGGACCTGCGAGGATGCGCCATGTGCTCCCAAGGGTTCTAGAAGCTTCCTCACTACAGACACCCTTTCTTACCGGGAAGGTTGACTTCCATCAGGTACTTCCGACACAGGATGTTGGGGTGGAGGTAGCAGTCCTCCGTGATGGCCGGGAAGCGGGGCAGGTCCAGGAAGGTGGCGACTTCGATCATCTTCCGGTGGATGTCCTCGTAGCTGGGCCACGCCTGGAACAAAGCCGCGGCAGCCGCCATAGTGAGCGAGCGTCCGCCAGTGAGTCCTCGCATGCGAGGCTGGGGCTGTGGGGAGGAGCGTGGGGAGCAGGCACACAGCCTGGCACCCGCCTAGAGCTCAGACAGTAATCGCGCCAAATGGAAAGGCCCTAAGAGTCCATCTGGCTCACCAGACTCGCTGGTGACGTGGTGAGAGCCTGACTTCTTGCCGATCACGGAGAATCGGCACAGATGGCGCTGCGGGGTCTCCACGTGGCCACACCCCCTCTAACCGGGCCAGCTTCACTGACCGTCCAGTTCACGGCGCACACGGAGTTCACGTCACACCCTGTCCGCGTGCTTCCCGGGATTCACACGGAGGCTGCACCCATGTTCACAGCATGGAAAACCACCGAGGTAATTACACAGACACTTATGACTGCTAGGGTGATCTACGCTGACGTTTAGAAATGTATTGTGCACAGGCCACGCAGGGGAGGCCTCACAGGAGCTGCCAGGTGTCCATACCACATCTCGATGGCCTACCGGAATCCTGGGGTAACCAGAGAGAACGGCATCTATTCTAAGCTGGACTTGGATTATCTGCTAATTAGTCTAATTCTACCTCAACTACTTTGTGGAACAAGCTGGAGAAATAAAAGGAAGAGACAGAGAAATAAGACGGGACTATTCTGCTCAAAGCACCCTCTCTCAGAATCCTTTGCAAGATGCTTATTAAAAAGGCACATTCCGCCCTGGCTGGTGTTGGTTAGTAGTTAGAGTGTCCCCCCTCGGACCAAAGGGTCGTGGGTTCGATTTCTGGCCGAGGACATGTACCTGGGTTGCAGGTTCAATCCCTGGCCCTCGTTGGGGCAGGTTGTGGGGCAACAGATAGATGTGTCTCTCTCACATCATGTTTCTCTCTCACCTTTACCTCCCTTCCACTCTGAAAATTCAATAGAAAATCAAACACACATTCCTACACCTCACACCAGACTTACTCAGCACTGACAGGGGCTCAGACAAGCTCTCCAGGCTATTCTCACACAACACAAACGAAGTGAAGCGCACGCTTCCCCACTTCGCCCCTGCCGCCTGCGGAGACCCGCTCACGCTGACCCACACATTCCAGCGGTGGGTGCGATGCTGTGGGAGGCCCGGAGGAAAGGAAAACACCAGTTGGTTTCTCCTCCTGTGCCTGGAGGAGGGCGGTGTGGGGGCGAGGGACTGAGAACACCTGCTACCCTGACACTCACCCCAATTCCTCCCGGGAGACCTCGGCCTGTGCGAGTGTCACCCTACCAGGGCGCGCACAAACACCCCAGGAGCTGCGGGGGCCTACGGGGATGGGGGAGCCAATCGGAGTGAAGTGAGGACGCAGAGTCCTGAAACTCAGCCTGTAGACCGGCACCTGTCGGGCGGGAAGTGGCTGCGGCCCCCAGCTTTCCCCCAGCGGACCCAGTTTCACTGGGCGAGACGCTCCGGGCAGGCGGAGTGAGTCACCGGGCAGCGTGCCCGCCCTCGGCGGGGCCGGCTGAACCAGCGTGACACCTTTTCTTTTCACTCCTTCAGACATCAGAATGTTGTTGATCAACATTCAAACACAGGAGCAGCGCTGGGGGGGACTCCCAGCCCCTCCCTCTGCGGAGCGGGAGGGGGGACTCCAGGACAGGCGGCCTCCAGCACACCGTCAGGGGCACGGCAGAGCCCGCTACCAATGGCCTGTTTGCAATCGGTCTGCGTGTGAGAACATACAAAACCGAAGCAAATCAGGCTGGAAGGACAGAAGCCGCCCGGTGGCAGGAAACGCTGCATCTGTGCCAGAGCCCACAGTGACGGGTGTTTGATGCCTGCATAGGCGGGCTGTCCCCCGAAGAGGCCAGATGTGCAGCTCTTCCCACCACAACTAAGATTTTTGCTGGAAGAAAATGGTGCTTCGAATCAATGCCATACTCCAGAAACAGTGGAGGCAAAGGCAGGTAAAGAAGGAGGTCGTCTTCAGGTTAAGTCAGTAAAAACCCAAGACGGAAAGAAAAGCTAGCTACCTGGAGTCGGGAATCACAAAGAAAACACCAAACTGAATTCGCACACCTGCCCTCCCCCAGCGGCCCTCCCTCAGCTCTGCTCTCGGGGGTGGGGGGTGGGGGTGCAGAGGCAGGAGGCTGCGGGAAGGGAACAGAAAGTACCCCGCAGTTTCGCACCCCGCACCCAGGCCTGGGCTGAGGAGCCTGAAGCTTTGTTTTCCTGGGACGGGGGGCCGCTCCGATGCTGACAGAGCAGCTAAAGGAAAGACGCAGTTCGCTGGGACACAGCTTTAGGTCTGTAAAGCTCTCTCTTTTCTGCGTTGTTTTCTAAGGTGTGCTCAGTTTCTGGAATAACAAAAACAAATAAACAAGGGCAGAAGGAAAACAGGCCCAGGAGCCCACACACTCCTGGCTCATCCCGCCATCGCCCAAACAATCGCTCCTTTTGTCGCCGCTGGTGGAGGCGCAGCTGCCCGGAGCCAAGAGGCGGAGAGGGAGGCAGAGGAGGAGAAAAGGCTTCCTTTGTTGGCGAAAAGCGTTTCCATTTAAGTTTCGACACGCACCCCGTGGAAGAGCAAAGACCGGGCGTGCCATGAGGACTCCTGTCAGTCACTCACGGTCCTCCCCTTTTCCTGAAAACCGAGGGCACAGCCAGGAGGGAATGTGGACTGCAGCCTGCAGAGGCCGAAGACACGTCTACGGGGTACATATGGCCCTGGCCGGTGTGGCTCAGTGGATAGAGCATGGGACATTCCGGGCCAAGGGCACGCGCCTCAGTTGCAGGCTCCTCCCCAGCCTGGGCCCTGGTGGGGCCTCGTGCAGGAGGCAACCCATCGACGTTTCTCTGACATGGATTTCTCTGTCTTTCCCTCTCTTCCATTCTCTCTAAAAACCAGTGGGAAGATATCCTCAGATGAGGATTTTAAAAAAATAACAAAGGGTACATACATACAGAAATGTGACACTCTGGGCTTCTTGCGTGGTACAGATTCATTTCACAGAGTGAAAACCACACGTGTGCGTTCTGGAAGACAGGAGGCTGGACCAGACGGTCCCCGCCTGCGTAAAAAACGAGGCTTGGGAAAGCTTTTTACTGAATTTCACAAATATTTCAGCGCGTTTCTGTTCCTCATGAGGCAATGCCCTGAGGCAGGTCGGGACAAGCCCCAGTTTCTGTTACACACAGGCTGTGATAACGCCTGCGGTGCCTGTCAGAGGTGAGCTCCTGCCAGCCTCCCCTGTGCCCACTGTTGTTCCACAGCAGACGCGGCCGAGAAGCTGGTGCCCGGCACCTGCCAATCCGAACGCAATGCAGGGCGGTGCCGGCTCTGCTCTGCGTGCTGGGAGGTGCCATCCACACACGGGGAGCCACCAGCCGCTCGCCTCGCCTCTCAGCGCCAGGATTATCCTAATGGTGTAAGCCTGCCAGGCGTCACAAAAACACTTTTCTGTGTCCAAGTCTCGTCTGCCGGGCGTCTGCCTTCTGTGAAATGTGGTCCTGGGGTGAGTTTAGAAATGGTGTCAGCTGCACAGACAGACAAATCTTACAGATACACACAAATGTACGAACTAGCGGCCAATGAAGACTTGCCAGTTTGGCTCAGTGGCTAGAGCGTTGGCCTGCGGACCAAAGGGTCCCGAATTCGATTCTGATTAAGGGCACATACCTTGTTTGCAGGCTCCTCCCCGGCCTGGGCCCTGGTCAGGGCACATGCGGAAGGCAACCAATTGATGTGTTTCTCTCACATCGATGTTTTTCTCTGTCTTTCCCTCCCTCCCCCTCTCCCTAAAAATCAATGGGAAAATGTCCTCAGGTGAGGATTAACATAAAAAGAGAAAGACTTGCCAACGAATGGGAGACAAGAATTTGTTTGGCCCAAGGATCAGAGCGAGGGAAAACCACGGAGTCCTTCTCCTCCATTTTATTTTATTTATTGTTAATGATTTCAGGGAGGAAGGGAGAGGGAAAGACAGAAATATCAGTGGTGGGAGAGAATCAATGATCAGCTGCCTCCTGCATGCCCCCTACTGGGGATGGAGCCTGCAACCCGGGCATGTGCCCTGATCGGAATAGAACCATGACCCTTCAGTCTACAGGCTGCCGCTCTATCCACTGAGCACACCAGCTAGGGCGAGTCCTCCTGCGTGAGATCCTCTGTTCTTTGACTTCTGCTGATGCTGCAGGACGTGTTTGAACCACATCTCTGCCTGTGGAGACGAACAGCTGGCATCCAGAAGAGCATAGAACCCCCAAATAACTCCTACTTGGTCCCGCAGGGCTACGGGTCACTTGTACAGCAATGCACCTGTGTCACCTCAGTCTCCTGTACACTAGCCCCGGCCTGGCCCGTCTCTGCTCCTGGAAGCAGAGGTGAGGGCAGGCAGGGCTGAGCACGCCCGCTACTGGAAGGTGCTGGCCCAGAACCAAACTAAATCACAGCCAGTCCCCGAAGGAAGGCGCTGGTCTCAGCAAACATGGCGTGTGATGCTCCCAAAAGAAGTATCGTCAGTGTAGCTCACACAGACATTTTCTGACCGAAGCAATTCGCTATGGGTTCAGAATATTAGTAAAGAGCACAATTAACTTTCAGATTACCTATCTCACACCCTGGTTTTCATGAGTGATACTGACACGCCCAGATTTGCATTGTTAATATTCTTGCTTATAAGCAGAAATTATATCCCTTAGATATTTATCACTTAAACATTAACAGAATGCTTTTTGTCAATCAAATGCCACTACTTAATGGCCTCCCGATATATATAGTAAATACGCTGGAAGCAGTCTGGAAGTCTCCTGCTTACGTGGGAAAGCTCCCCAAAGGATTAATTTGCGATCTTCTAAAAATAAAGTATTTAAACCCATTCTATTTTCTTCAGCAATTTCAAATCACTTTGTCAATTAACATGGCCTGAGTCCTGACCACATGAACAGAACTGCATCAGGTCTATGGAGAGGAAGTATTAAATGTGGTCCCTACCGTCACAGAGTACTGGGGGTGCAAGACATACACACATAAACCCACGCATTACACGCCGCCTTGACGCCCCTGGGTCAGAAATTCTACTTAGACAACATCCTCTGGCTGCCTTTAAAATCTTAAAGGTTACAAAAGAATGCATGTAGCATACTGTAAGCCATGTAATAAATGAACACCCGTGGGATGACATGTTAACAGTTGAATCTGGGCAAAGGGCATATTGTAATTTTTTTTTCAAAATAAAGTTTACTTAAAAACGAAAAAACTCTTCAAGACCTAAGTGCAAAAGGCAAAGTGTGATGGTTATTGTTACCAAGACACAACACGTAACTGGTATTCCAGGAAGGACATTCTTTCTTAGACCTGTGTTTCCTACCACAATGTGTAAAGACACTGCTCACCCATTCACCCAGTCCCCTCACTAAAAACAGCCAACTAAAGCAAGTATTACTAGGAAAAGAATTCTGTGTAAACAACAGCCCATGACCAATAACATGGTCAGCTGGGGAAATGTTTAAAGCAAAGAGTAGACTAGTGACAGCATTCATGAATAGAGATTGCAATTTTTAAAAAAACCCAATAATAAATGAGCAATGAGATACTTTTAGGCATTAAGAAAAAAATATTACTGACTCTACTTCTAAATATCTAAAAATTAGCATTGGAACACTTGTTTCTGCTATGGAGGACTAAGTGCTGACAATCCGAGAACTGGAAGAAAACATTTAACATCACAGTTCCCGACACTGGCCAACAGGAAGCACGGGGCCAATCTCAGAGCAAACAGAGGGCGCCGTTGACTGCCTGAGGGCAGATTCCCAGCTGCAGCCCAGGGAGGGAGGGAAGTCCAGTGGTCGGGTTGACCTGAGGAGACAACACGGTCTCTGTAAGCTTCGGTGGCTGATTCGCAGCAGATACCAGAGGTATGAGTAATAAATCAACAATGGAGATCAAAGGAAACCAACAAATCTTAATTCAAAAGAAAGAAGGAATGCCCGGCCAGTGTGGCTCAGTAGTTGAGCTTTAACCTAGGAACCAAGAGATGACAGGTTCCATTCCCCATCGGGGCACATGCCCGGATTGCAGGCACCATCTCCAACCGTGGGCACTGCCTTCCCTCTCCTGGGTCTAAGTGAACAGGGACCGTCCCTGAGAGCCACCTCCAAGCCAGTGCTGCGTCCCTGTCACGGGCGCCGCTTCGCTCACGTCGTCCTGAGGGCAGAGCCCCTGGGTTTACAAATCCACTCTTCTCTACAGATCACTCCCAGCGAGCGACGTTCTAGCCCCGTGCGAAACACGTCGGTGTAAGATGTTCTGCATCTTGCAGACTTCTGTCTCGGTGTCTCCATTTTTTTAGGCGCCGTGCTTCAGCAGCACGTGACACAGCTATATTTTCACGGCACACGTGTGAGTTTTGGAAAATCGGGTGATGAGGAGGCAGAACAGCAGGCAATGGAGCAAAAGCTGAAGCAGCCAAAACCGGTTTGGCTCAGTGGATAGAGCGTTGGTCTGTGGACTGAAAGGTCCCAGGTTCGATTCCGGTCAAGGGCATGTACCTTGGTTGCGGGCACATCCCCAGTAGGGTGTGTGCAAGAGGCAGCTGATCGATGATTCTCTCTCATCGATGTTTCTAACTCTCTATCCTTCTCTTCCTCTCTGTGAAAAATCAATAAAATATATATATTTTTTTAAATGCTGAAGCAATGAGCCTCAGGCCTAAAGTACAAAATTCCCAGGCTGGGACCACCCACCGCATGGCCGTGGCCAGCCCCTCTGCCTCTCTGAGGTGTGTGCTCGCCTGTAAGCTGGGGTAAAGTGAAACAGTTCTCATACAGGGTTATAAGGTCACAAATGTCTCAAATTAAACTGCTACACGGAGGGCTGTGAAGGTTAGGAAGGCCTATGGAAGTAACGCCTGAAGTGGAAATGGAAGATACTGCTTAATTCTAATAATCTGCAGTAAACCAAACATCTCTGCTGATGGGAAGGGAAGATAGCCGCTGAGTAGAGTAAACAGCGATAAAGCCTCCTAATTAAAGGACAGAAGCCTTCCACAGGAGACAGCAGGAGCAGGTCCCGCAGGATGATGCAAGCAGAGGACTTGGACTCCTGCCTCTTGAAACAAGATGATGACTTTCTCCACAGCGACACAAATAGCAACAAGAACACCTGTTAGGGGGTCTGAAATTCCTTACAGGTTTCTCTGTAGAACTTTTAAAGTGTTATTCTATTCTGTGTCTCATTCGTGATTACCAAGTTAAAAAAAGAAAAGAACTTACCTCTATCGCAAAGATTCCTTTGTCACGCCCATATAGTTTCATCTCCTCTGGAAAATGCTCAAAAGCATTGACATAAGGAATATGGCCCTCTTCAACAAATCTGCTTTTAAAAAGAAAGAGTTCCAATGAGAGATATGCACTGACTTAGCAGAGTGATCCAAAGAGCTGAAAATGTATTTCAAAGACAAGGTCCCAGGACACTCTGTCTGTACTTATAATTTTTATATTTTTCAGAAGTTTCCATTGGTCCCGACTGGAAGTTTAACAAACCGGTTCTTCCCCGCAGACGATGTGAGAGGAACCTCATTTGAGTTGAGCGCAGCTGCTTGCAAAGCATCTCCTGCCCCAGCTCACCTGGTTCCATTTCTATCGCCACCACCTCGTCCAACCCACGGCCCCTGCCCCACGCGCCTTCCTGGACCCCATCTTCCCGCTGCCCAGGTGACCAAAGCTCCTGGGCCTCCCTGTCTCCCTTCTGCTGAGCATGCGTGTCCTCTGGAGCGATGGCCAGGCTGTGGAAGTAGACATGAAGGGCACTGAAAAGGGTGAATTTTATTGTACATGAATCACATCTCAATTAAAAGAATCCAAACTCCAGCTAGGCTAACGAAGACCTGTATCTGACCTCTGCGTATTACCGGTAGGTCCCTGCCCCGCTCCGACCCCTTCAGACCCGCTCCCTGTCCCACGGGCCTCTCCCCTGGAGCTCTGCAGCTCCGGCTGGGCACCTGCAGCTCCCTCGACCCCAGCGCTGGCCTCGTCCGTCCGACAGCCGCCGCTCTGCTTTCACTGGAAGTGCGGCGTCACCCCCACCTTCGAGGGGAGACCTCCCTAGGACCAGCCTAGCAGCCAGCTGTCACTGCCACGCCATCCAGCTTCCCCCTCCCGCAGGCACTCCGCTCCGGGTCAGCTTTTACAGCCATGTCCTGGCTCATCGGTTCCCTCGCCCAGTCTGGAACGTGGTGAGAGCAGGCACTTGATGTCTACGGCCTCTCAAGAGTAACCCCGCACAGGATCAGTGTTCAGTAAGCATTTGGGGCTGGGCGGTGCTGGCGGTTCACTATGCTGTCACTGTGGCCGGCAGGCCCTCTGAAGGTTAAGGGAAGGGAGGCGGACTTTTCCCGAGGACCACGGACGCCGAGGAAGGTGTAAACGGAGACGCGGGGATCAGTGAGACATGCAGGGTCGGAGCCAGGCTCGCCATATGTTCTCTGCAGATCACTGTCCTTTATCCGTTCAAGGTTGGGAGGGAGCTCTCCACTCAGCATCTACAGGGACCTCTCGGGGGCTCAGGAAAGCAGAGCCACAGGCCCACCCCCGGGGCGCCTGGTTCAGACGGTGAGCGCGGCCGAGGACCTGCGTTTCCCACGTTTCTCACGGGGCCCAGGGGATGCTGGGCCGGGCCACACTGAGGACCTGGACTTAGCTCTTCCCCTGAGGAAAGCAGAGACCTGCTCTTCTCCTTTATCCCAAGCAAGTGAGCTCAGTCCCCAGATCTGTGTATGAACCCAGCAAATAAAGCCCTCAGCCAGCGAGATCCATCTCCTTGAAGGCACTGTAAGTTCCCCTGGGAAGGAGGAGGGGACCGAGGGAGGAGAGAGGAAGGGATGAAGGGAGGAGGGGAGAAGGGGACCAAGAGAAGAGGGGAGAGGGAGGAGGAAGGAACCGAAGGAGAAGGGGAGGAAGAAGGAAGAGAGAGGAAGGAAGGGAGGAGGGGAGGGAGGAGAGAAGGAGGAGGAAAGGGAGCTGGGGAGAAAGAGGTGAAGAGGCAGCTTTCACCCTCCATCTCCCAACCACATATAAATTCCCGAGAAGAATCTCAGGTAAATGTTTATCTCCATCCGTTAGGTTTCCAGGAGAGTCCTGCTGGGAGCCTTACGGCCGCCTGGGGGGTGGCTAGCCTGTGTTCTGCACCCGCCAGGCGACCGGGCAGCTGTTCGGTAAGGTCCTCCGGTTAGGCAGGAAACGGAGAGGGGCACCACTGCAGTCCAGGGCCCCCCTGGGAGGTTGCTAAGCAACCCGGTGAAGACAGGCAGGGAATGGGGGAGAGGAAAGTGGCTCTGAGAGTTACTTTGCAAGCATGGCTGACGGGGTGTGTGCAGAGGGAAGAGTCAGGGCGGTTCCCAGGCTGCGGGATTGGGGGCCCGAGGAGGGTGTTACGAAGACAGAAATGCTGGTGGAGGAGCTGGGCCGGGGAAGATGAGCCATTCGGTCATGCTGATCCTGAGAACCAGAGACAGCCCAGGAGAGCCATCCGGCTCCCGTGAGGCACATGGGCTAACCTCAGTGGACAAGTCTGGGCTGGAGACAGACTCGGGCGTCATCACAGAGGCGGTAATTAGACCTGGGAGGTGAGGTCACCCCACGGGGCAGACAGAGCAAGACGGGGTTCCAACTTACAGAGAAGTCCCTGCGGCTTCTGCCTGGGGTGAATCACCCAGAAAAGCTTGTTATCTGGTTCATGTGGCCAAATTCAAAGGCACTCACCTCACTCACTGGAGGCGTTTATTTGCCCCCAGGGCCTTGTGCCAGGAATGATAGCGACGGTGGAGGAGGAGGCGGAGGAGGAGGAGGCGGAGGAGGAAGAGGAGGGAGAAGAGAAGAGGAGAAGGACACAGCAGCGGCACAGCACGGCTCTCCTGTGTCGGCCCTGGTCTAAGTGCTCTGTGCGCTAAGTCCTGAAGCAGCTGCCACCCCGCAGGGAGCCATGTTCCTCCTCCTGCAGCACCAGAAGGCAGAGGCGGAGGAATGGCAGTGACACTCACTCAGGGCCCAGGAGCGGGTCTAACCTGTGCTCTTACCCACTCCCCCCGCTGACGAAACCCAATGCGATCCACAGAATCCGCACGCATGGGGCCAGCGGCACACGAATGACCCGGGCGCATCCTCGCCGTGCTGAGAAGTCGGTCGGTACCCACGATGCCCTCACATATCATTCCATCAGCCCTGCAGATTATCCTGAAGATGTGAATGCCAGCTATCTGCATAACAGGTTCTCCAGCAGTTTTGTTTTCCATTTCCCACATAAACCAGGCAGCCTATGTTTAGCTCTTGAGAAACGACATTAATAACCATTTGCCAACGTGAAGGTCATCTGTTCATCTCCTCCCGTAGAAACAAAACCACTAATGCTGCCACTTGAAGGTCACTTTTCTTCTTCAAAGCGTTCGCTCACAGCGGGCCGTGGGAGGCGGGTGCCATTATCCTCTTTATAAACAAGGCAGCCAGGGAGAGGGCGAGTGCCAGCCCAGGAGGACGGAGTTACAGAATTAGAACGCCGGTCACCCATCTTTCCAGGCCCTCCCTTCATTCAGGCCTGGTGGGTCACACTGTCACGCCTGTCCCGGTCCGAGGGTGAGCGCGCACGCCCCGGCCCTTACCGCAGGAGGTCGGAGAGGGCGAGCGCCTCCCGCTGCCACAGCAGCGCCAGGCCGCAGAGAGCCAGGGTGGCGGGCACCGTCATCTTCACCAGCCCCTTCTCCTTGTGCAGCGAGTACTCGACTCCGTCCAGGGACCCAGAGCAGACGGAGGCCATCTCTTAAGAGGACAGAGGAGAAAACGTGACATCCAGAGGCATCTGAACCTGTGGTTCCCAAAGCATTGTCCCGGACCAGCTGCGCGGGGTCACCTGAGCCCTGAGGAGCTGCACCAACCTGCCCATAAAGCCTGCAGGGCGGAGGGAGAAAGGGTGGAGGATGGCTACAGTTTTAGAAAGGACCCCAAGGCCAAACCAGGGGGAGGGGAAGAGCGTACAGGCTGACAGCTGGGAAGCGTTTGGCCGGGCGATCGGGCCTTGGCAGTCCGGAAAGAGCTGGACTCGTTGGCTAAACCAGGGACCCCTGGCCACGGGGAAGATCGGGCTCACCCCAGGAGAACTAACTGCAGGAGGGTCTGATCAGATTGGCATCCCGGCGCCACAGCCCAAGGCCTGCCCGCCCCGATCTCGGCAGGAGATGGGAAGCTTCTCCTAAGAGCGGGAAGGCAGGCTCTGGGACAGAGGGAGGGACCTCAGTCACACTCACAGCCGAATCGGCATCTTATGAAAACGGGGGAGAAGGAGGGGTACATAGGGAGTCCTGAGACAAGCCCTCTCCCGGGCCCTCTTCCTCCCGCCCACTTTCCAGAACAGCCAGGATGACAGCCTCTGAACAGGAGCCTCAGCGTCTCTGGAAAACAGGGCCAGTTCCCGTCGGGCGGACTTCAGGTGGGAAAGCTGGAGGTCCCCTAAGGGAGGACCAGCAGCTCAGCCTCCCCTGGAGCCCAGGGACAAGACTCCCAGGGGTATAACTGGAGATTAAATCAGGTTTCCTTCCTCTGGCTTCAGTCTGTGCTTAGACACCGGCTGTCACCTTTGACCCTGTCTACGGCCAGGGCTGAGCTCTCTCTACTGGGCAGCGGCTTTTCTTCGGGACCCTCAGCCCACACATATGTGACCTTTCCTGAGCTGGCCTCCGTCTTCCCAGACCCTGACCGTGTGGCTCCCCTTCAACGTCACCGACAACATTCACCGGAGCCATGGGCCCCTGGAACATGGCTCTGAGGCTCCCTCCCGGCCTCTGCTCAGCCTGAGCTCTGCCAGGCCGGCCGCCTTTCCAAACGCGAGGCCCCAGCTCTCCCTGCCGCTCCTCACCTGACTGGGAGGCTCTGCCGGGCGGGGAGGGCCTCCCGCAGCCGTCAGCCCCGCTGTCGCCCAGGGAGGGGCCGCTGGCCTCGCTCAGCAGCGCGGGCTCGCTCTCCCAGTCCGAGGCGCTGGGGCTCCCCGGGGCCTGTGTGCACACACATGGTTACCACACAGGACGGTAGTTACAGGCATTGGCTCCCAGGAATGGAAAGCGCCCCTGACAGCACAGTCGGGGAGGCGGCCCTCCTCCCCCCGCCTCCCCGCGTCCCCGGACCCTTCTGAGGGACTGACCGCAGCCTTCCGTTTCCTGGTGTGAACCGGGTTTTCGCAGTACGCCTGCTGGCTCTTCTGGAGGTAGCGCTTCCACAGGTTATGTAACACTGGGCTCTGGGGAGGGAAGCGAGGGGTCTGTGTCCGGTGACAAGCACACTCGCCCATCTCCCCACAGCTGCTCTGGGCCACCCGGACGGCCCGTCGCCTATGCGGCCACTTCCCTAACCACAGCCTCCCGAGCCCAGAGTGGCGAGCCGACCACTAAGCTTCCCGTGCTGGAGTGACCACCCCTGCGAGACTGCCCCAGCAGATCCCCTCCACTACTCTCCTTGGGGGCACGGCCACCCCGGTTCCCTCCCTCCTCACCTGCCCCTGGTATCCCTCACTCCCTCTCCCCAGCGAGGCTGGTCTCCCACGTGGCTGTGGGGTGGCTGAGGCAGAGGTACAACCACCGCAGAGCCGAGGACTGGCTTACACAGTTCCTGAGAGGCTGCGAGCAGATGAGGAAATCCGAAATGCAGACTAGGACAGTCCCTCTCGGGGACACTCCTGAGAGGCAGCAAAGTTAAGGTGACCAGATTTTAACCTTGGTAAAGTGGGACACCAATGATGGGGGGGGGGGGGGGGGGCGGGGAGGGGTTCTTCTTGATTAAAAATTTGGTCTATATGGAGCAACAAAAATTTTCATAGAATGCAAAAATAGTATTGTGATATATTTTTTAAAATTTCAACATAAGTACAATTTACAAATGTAATAAATTTTTAAAAATTATGTATAGTCGTAAGTGTCACTTTCAAGGCCGGCGCTAGACTTTTTGCCACCACTATAAAATATAAATAACACAAGTACTGTCTGCTAAATTCAAGAAAATTTATGTAGTTATGAAATAAATTACTTACCTAAATTATCTGAATAGCTGATTTGTAATGACATCACTTGTTTAACTAGCTTACTAGCACACATCGTACTGCGTGCTAGTCTGAGAGACAGTTACAAAATGTTTTCGTTGTTGCCAATCCTAAAAAATGCCATTGTTCATTAAATCCAAACAATGGTGGACTAATTCTAACCACTGATCAACAATGCGCACTTTGATAAGCAGTTCTCGATAATCAGTTCTCAACAATTATTTGTTATTATTAAAGTTTAACATTATAAAATTAACAAAAATAATATAAAACTCATGTCCTGGCTAAATAGCCACGTGGCTGTCGAAAACCATCTATTCCCTTCCCGTTCTCCCGCCGTCCCCTAGCTTGTCGTGCCTTCTTTCCAAAAATCAGGACTTTTTTAAACGCCTCAGGATGCGGGACAAATTGTTAGAAATCGGGACTGACCCGCCAAAAGCAGGACATCTGGTCACCGTAAGCAAAGTCAAAGGATGGTCCCCGACCAGCCGCAGCAGGTCACCCGGGAACTTGCTGGAAAGGCCAGTCCTTGGCCGCTCCAGACCTCCTGCCCAGCAGCTCTGGACGGGCCAGCAGTCTGTGCTCCCCAGGCCCTCCCGGCTCCTGGCACACCCTCGCTGGAGACCACGCACTGGCTTCTGGCTCAACCCTGAGCCAGGCCCAGCCCCGGGCCCTGGGGAACAGAACCAGCACGCTGCCCTGAGAGGCAGCCGGAGCTTGCAAAGCTCCTCGTTTTTCGTTGTTTAAGTCAATGTTTCCTAAACACAGGCTGAGGAAGCCTTTTTGTTTTCTGTGATGCGTTGCTCTGTACATCCGGAGAAGGCAGTTCGGGAACTGCTGGTCTGATGAAAACACTAAAGCAGAAACATCAGCAGCAGGATTCTCCCGCAGCCCCGGTAGCACTGGCCAGCGTCACTCTAACCCTTACTGTTCTTCGCACAACCAGAGGGAGAGCAGCACCCAGGCCATGGACTCACCTTTACCTCGGGGCCCACCCCCAGGGCCTTGAGCGCCTCGGCCTGCTGACACAGAATGTGCTGGAAGCCTTCACACACGTACCAGTCCCAGCCTCTCTCTGAAAGACAGACAGACAGACACCATGTTTCAGACCTCCCTGACCACGGGGTGCAGAGGGAGTCTTACCGAGGGCACTCGCCGCCTGCGCACAGGCACGCTGTCCGACACAGGGACCGCGCTGTCTGTGTCCCGGAGCGGGGTGCCGGTGTGGGGCGTGCGGGAGGAAGAGCAGACTCAGGAGGAAGAGCAGACTCATATCCACCCGGCAGATATGTCCCCGAACGCTAACGCTAAACGTCATTTTTACCACCGATGAGAGTTTGTGTTTCACATTATCCATAACTGTCCTAAGATGTTAATGTAAAAGGAAGGAAGATAGTAGTCACCATGTTAAAGCAATGGAATGGGCTTTAAGAAGCCTACTGTGTGACCGATGCCCAGTAAACCGGCATGGGCACTCCGCGCCGGCCCGGCTTCCACGCTCTGCTCCCGCCGAGGAAGGCCGTGCCGCCGGGGGAACGGACAGAGCAGGAGGGTCCGGCCACAGGAGGGCGACACAGTCACTCCGGCGCCAGCCCAGCGGCACTCTGCCTCTCTGGGCACGGCTCCAGGACTCGGAACCTAGACCTCAGACCGCCCCGAGAGACGGGACGAAATGCGACGGTAAGACCGCAGGTTCCCGCCCTGCGGGACAGCTGTCCCTTGGAAGCGGAGTGGCAGCCTTCGCACACACAGCTCCGCAGCCGGCACCAGCTCCCAGTCCCTTCCTCAGCTGTCACCCAGGTTCTGCAGAGGGTCTGGGTGGCCCAGGAGAGGAACGGAGAGCCTGTCATTCCGACGCAGCCCAAGTGCAGGGAGGAGGGGCAGCCCTTCCACCTGGGCCCTGCGCTCCTCCTCCTGATCTCTTCCTCCCGCACCCCACACTGCTCTCACCCTCAGTGCTCTCACCCACCCACCCCGCTCTCTCTCACCCACCCCCCGCTCTGCTTTCACCCACCCACCCCGCTCTCTCTCACCCACCCCCCCGCTCTCTCTCACCCACCCCCCCGCTCTCTCTCACCCACCCCCCCGCTCTGCTTTCACCCACCCACCCCGCTCTGCTCTCACCCGCACGCCTTGCATCTGGGTGCAGAGGAAGGAACGAAGGTGAAAGTGGCTGAATATGACACCTGACATCTCCTTTGAAACACCTCAAGTTCCTGCAGCTACTGAAGTTTAACTATTTAACTGTTTACGTAGGTCAAATCCCAGTTAACCAGGCTTACCCTAACGAATTCAATGAAAATTAATCAGGTTTCAGCCTGAGAACAAGTCACTACTGAAGGCTCCACAGGCCAGAAGCTGGCACTGAGGCTCGCGGTCAGCCACCAGGGCAGTCAGTGCTCCCCGGAGTCCATCCACATGTCACGGTTCTATTCCAGTGGCGTGCCCTGGAGCCCCTCACGTGGAAGGAGCCGGCATGAGGCGGCTCACACCTGGGAACCTGGTCCTAGGGCATCGGTGGCGTCGTAAAAAGCATCAGGGAGACTACCTCAGGCTCCTCTCAAGAGGCCGATTCGTGCACTTCCCGAACTAATGGGACAGACTTCTTTCAAAGCAACCCATGCTGAAGGCCAGTTTCTTTTTCTTTTTCTTCTTAATATGGTTTTATTGATTTCAGAAAAGACGGGAGGGGAAGAAAGAGATAGAAGCATCCATGAGGAGAGAGAATCACTGATCGGTTGCTTCCTGCAGGCCCCACACTGGGGACTGAGCCTGCAACCCAGGCATGTGCCCTTGAGCAAAATCGAACCCAGGACCCTTCAATCCTCAGGCAGAAGTTCTATCCACTGAGCCAAACCAGCTAGGGCCTGAGGCTAATCTTCCCTAAAAAGGGTGTGCTCAGCCCTGACCAGTTTGGCTCAGTGGATAGAGTGTCCACCTGTGAACTGAAGGGTCCCAAGTTCAATTCCGGTCAAGGTCATGTACCTTGGTTGCGGGCACATCCCCAGAAGGGGGTGTGCAGGAGGCAGGTGATCAATGTTTCTCTCTCATCGACGTTTCTAGCTCTCTATCCCTCCTCTCCCTTCCTCTCTGTAAAAAAACAATCAGTAAAATATATATTAAAAAATAAATGGGTGTGTTCAAAATTCAGTGTGAGAAACGAGTTTCTGAAAGTTGAATATCAGGTTTAACTGGCCTAACCTGACAGTCCCTGCTGAATCATCTCAGAAAGTAAGCATTTTCCTTTAAAGCACAGCAAGAGCACTTCTCATGTGTGATAAACATAGAGCAGAGCAGCGTGCGCTGACAGACAGAGAGGCTCCGCTGCATCGTCATTGTTTTGCGTAACAGTTGCTCCACTGGAAGAGCCGCCTGACAACACGGGGTGAAGGAGGACACGCTGGCAGCACTGCCTCGTCTCAAATCAGTAACACCCACTGCACCTCCGCGTGGGACTGCCTGCTTAGCGTTCTGGCAACTTCTCCAGAATCTGTCTAACGTTCCATTCCACATCCCCAAATCACGGCGGGGAACCCCGAGGCTGGAGACTGCTAGGCACATATGAAGCATGAGCTTACCGTGTTTTTTCCTCACTTTAAGCCCCCGGTTGATAGCTTGTTTTTTAGCGTTAGGAATCGCCTCGATGTTTAAAACTTCCTTAGATCTCTGCAGAGAACGGAAACATCGTCATTAAAACCATAGCTTTGCGTCCCACAGGTTTCCAAGCTGTTCTAGAAGTACAATGAACCAACCGTGAGTGCCGGAACCAATGATGGAGCACCCTGATTAACCTCATTCAAAATTTCTCCCTGCCTAAACAGTGCCTGGAATACAGTAACACTGAATAAGTGTCTGCCAGATGAATAAACTTTTATTTCAAATCACTGTGTGTGTGTTAATCTTTTATTTTTAATTACTTTTTTAATTTATTGTGAGAGTATTACAGGTGACCCCTCTCCCCCATGCACCCCCTCCCCAGGCCTTAGCCACACTACAGTCTGTGTCCATGGGTAATGCATAAAGCACACAAGCACTTTGGTAAAATCTCTAATTGTTGCAAATCAAACCTAAAATCAAATATACTCATTTTTTTCTGCACTAAACACGCTTTGGAATTAAAATAATTTCTGTATTTATTTTAATCAGCAATGCTTAAGCTACATATCCTACTTTTCTGTATTTGAAAAATATTCTAAAACAGCTTTATTTATGAAATTATAAAAACAATACTCTTTATTTTTTATCCATTTATAGCATTTTGGAATGACTAAATGGTGGGTACAATTCATTCCAAAGTCTTCAATTCCAAGTGCTCTCAAGGAAGGGAACCTAAGATTCTGGCTTGCTCTCTGCTTATGGCTCTTTCTCTCTCACACATGTATTAAATCTTTCTTAAAATTGTATAAATGCCTCCAACATATACTTTCCCTAAGTGTTACACCAATAATATTATTTACAAATGAGCCATATTTTACAAATAACACACACACACACACAAAAAAAAACCACCCTAGAATTCAGATCTTCTAACACCTGGTCCAATGTTCTACTTTACTAACACTGAAATAAAAAGTTAGCCATTACTATATAATTATATAATTTTAAGAATTCTCTCCAAAAATGTATATATAAAAAATATATATAACATTGAATTACTTAATACTCTTAACATAATCGTAAATAATGTAAAAATATAGAAACATGATCAAGTATATGTTTTCTTAAATAAATCTCTTACTTCAATAGCACATGTATTTTCTTCCACATAATCAATACTTCATACCTTTGTTTATTGTCTTTAAATAACATGAAGGCACTTATTGCAGACATAACTTCATGTGCAAGTAACATGTAGACATTCTACTCATAAATTTGACTTTCCAAAAGCTATCAGCTTTTGTGTGTGTATATCCAAAACCATCCCCGTAACAAACTAACGAACATACCCTTAGCCCACCCGTGTCATCAGAGGAGCACTGATGTGGACACAGGACTGCCGCTGCAGACAGAAGGTCAACAACTGTCTCCAGTTCAAGCCTGTGTGACTGAGTTGCCAGCTAAACAAACCATTTTCTCAAGGAGATTTTTTTTTTTTTTTACTTGTTTCATACATTTTCCCAGGCTTTTTGTTGTTGAGGGGAGGAAGGTAAGTCTGGGTCTTGCTACTCCGTCCTGGCCAGGAGCGGAAATCGTCACAGTGACACTGATCTGCCCCAGATGTGCCTCGGAAGGGGATGTGGGGAGGGTAGTGTTGCTCCTTCCTGGCTCTGTGGACTCTGAGCGAATCCTCTCCCGGAGAGAAGAGTCATGACACGTTTATGTCCAATAGCGGGCTGCCCTCACTCTTGGCTCTTTGGGTCATGTTGCCCTGAGGGGTGTCACAGGACAGGACCTCGCTCTCCGGAGGGAAGGAGCCTCCCTGACCAGGCCACGCAGGACAGAATGGTAGTCTCTCCTCCAGAGGCAGGGGTGGTGGGTAAAATGAACACTGGAGTCAGGAGACTCACGGTCAAGTCCTGGCTCAACACTGCATATGTGTGTGGCCTTGGCAAACCCGCTCAAGTCCTGAGGCCTACCTGCCCTGTCTCTGGACAGGCAGGATAGTGTAGCTCACAGGGTGCTATGAGGAGGGAGGGAGGGACTGGGTGAGAGAATGCTTGGCAATCTGTAAGGTACTGTACAAAGATAAAACAATAACGAAGCCTATTTCCAACAGTCCTCCATCTTTCAACATTCCAACTTCCACACCTCTCAGATCCACCACACATTAAAAACTCTTAACTCATCAAAGAACTACAGTTTTGCCGGGACCGGTTTGGCTCAGTGGATAGAGCGTCGGCCTGCGAACTGAAAGGGTTCGATTCCGGGCAAGGGCATGTACCTTGGTTGAGGGCACATCCCCAGTAGGGGTGTGCAAGAGGCAGCTGATCGATGATTCTCTCTCATCGATGTTTCTAATTCTCTATCTCTCTCTTCCTCTCTGTGAAAAATCAATAAAATATATTAAAAAAACAAACAAAAAAAAACTACAGTTTTAATTATTTCCCCGTAAGACTACACCCAGCATGTCAAACTCAAAGGCTAACATGAAACAAATAAACAAGGCATGTGGCCCGCGGGCCAGAGTTTGACATGCTTGGACTACACAGTCTGAATCAGGAAACCAGTTATAAGTATGGCCCAAGATAATTTCAAAAACTCATCCTAGATCTAACTCACAGATTCCTTCACCTGTGTAAGCCCTTGAATACTACTGACAGCTGTGCAATTGGGGTATTGCAGGACCCATACGAATCGATCAACTTTTTGCTGCATATGAGGCTGAACCTGCAATGTTTGAAACATGAGCAAGTTCGAGGGTGAGATCTGTTACTTACGTCTGTAACATTGTGGCAGGAAGTACAATAGTATTTGCCCTCATCAGTCAGACCCCAAGACACTGCAGCGCACTGGGTACAGCGCTCTCTGAGCTCTTTCTGCAGGAAAAGAGGAGAGCCACGTTCAGCACCTCGGACCCAAACCCTGCAGTTCCACCCCACACACAAAACACCTTCAAAACCATAAAAAAACATCGAGTGTAGAAAATACGCAAGAGAGATGCTCTAGAAGCAGGGAGGACAGCAGTTCAAGTTCTTGAGCCGTTTGAACGGATTAAACGGTAAAAGAGTTTCTAAAACATGCAGTGAGGGTGATGAAGAAAAGTGGTCGGGGTGAAAAAGGAAAAAGATGAGTGAAACTAGTAAAACTCCTTGAAAATGCTGTGATGAAAAAAAAGATAGTAAAAGAGTTAAGTAAAGACTTAACAAATAGAAATAGCATACCATTTTTTAATAGTTTTTTTTTTTAAATTGATTGTTGAGAGGAAGAGAGAGGGAGAGAGAGAGACAGAAACATCAATGATCCTGGAGCAGCGACCTGGGCCTGTGTCCTGACCGGGAGTCCAACCCCAACCTCCTGGTTCACAGGTCAGTGCTCAGCCACTGGGCCACATCGGTGGGGCAGAGGCCAGATTCTTAATATAGTTGTTTCAGTTTATTCATTCAGCAATACACAGAGCATCAACAATTTATGTACTAGGCCTGTGGTCGGCAAACTGCTGCTCGCAAGCCACATGCGGCTCTCTGGCCCCTGGAGTGTGGCTCTTCCACAAAACACCACGGCCTGGGCGAGTCTATGTTGAAGACGTGGCGTTAGGAGAAGTTTAAGTTTAAAAAACTTGGCTCTCCGAAGAAATGTCAATCGTTGTGCTGTTGCCATTTGGCTCTGTGGGCTGGTGAGTTTGCCAACCACTATCCTAGGCATGTAAGGAGGCGATGAGGACTCCTGGGGGAGAGGGACAGACCTGGTCCCCACTCGCAGCAGTCAGGCTGAGGGTGTTGGAAGGTCCGGTGTCAGGAACTGACGTCACCCACTCATCGCTCAGTCAACAGCTACTGAGCATCCCCGGGAGTGAGGCCCTCTCTTCCCACTGCGCTTCTCCACGCCCCCGCCTGTCCTCAGTCCCGGTCCCGGTCCGCTGGCGTTGGACAGGATCTCTGGCCTCCGGACAGAAAGCCTCTCCACCGCGGAAGGCGTGGTGTGTGTGCCGTCCGCCAAAACGAACGCCCCGTTTCCTTTGGGGAGCCGGTCACTATCGTTCCTCCCTGGAGGCCCCCAAACCCGAATGTGAGGATGGCGGCGAGGAGTCCCGGGGTTACCTGAGGGCATTCCGGTTCCAACCCCGACCCTCCCTCCCGCCCGACCCCAAAGGGAACTGGCGGGCCGAGCAGAGAGGATGCGCCACGTGGGTGGACCCCCCCCCCCCCCACCGCTCCTCCTCTTCCCGAAGCACCACCCACCCACCCACCCAGGCCGTCACCCACCCCGTCTGCGCCCACCCTCCTCCGGCCGGAATCCAGCCTCCGCCCCAGAACACCGCCGCCCGGCCCGGCCCCGCGCCCCGCCCCGCGCTCAGAGGCCGCCCCGCCGCCGGACGGCGTCCTCCGGGCCCTGCTCCCCCGCCCGGGTCCCGCCCGCCCGCCGGCCCCCGCCCGCTCACCGCCTCCTCTCGGTCCATAGCGCCGCCGCCGCCGCCGCCGGAGCCCGTTACCCGGGCAGCGGGCGCAACTTCCGGGAGCGGCGGGAGCGGCGTTCCGGGCGGAAACCGAGACCCTGACTCTGAGTTCCGGCGCTTGCGCTCCCTCCCGGATGGTTCCAAGTGAAGGGAAGAGCTGGGGGCCTCCCGCCCTGGCCCCGGCGTTAATGGGGAGACCGGCCCGGGGAGCGCCCTCCGCGGGGCTTTGGACGGCGCGGGGACGGGGGCTCCGGAGGGAGGAGGACCGGTTGCGGTGCGACCGGGTTTCTAATGGCGGCTTCCCTGCTTCCGGCTGCAGTCTCCTCTGTAAAAGCGAGCCCGTGAGGCCCTCAGGGAGCCTCACCCACCTAAGTGCTCACAGATGTAGCTTTATGGTCCTTCCTGGGCGCGCTCATTCCCTGTGTTCCTTCAGCGGCGCTGTTTAGGTCCTGAGGGTTCCGCAGTCAGCAAAAGCTCCTTTTTGCTTATTCTTCATGGACGTCACACTCTGGTGGGGAGACCAGAAAGAGTTAAAGAAATCTATACTAATAGAAGCCTGGGTGGCTCTCACGTCATCACAAGATGGCTGCCCTTATGTCATCACAAGATGGCTGCCATAAGATGGCTGGCAGGGGAGCAGTTAGGTGTCAATCAGGCTGGCAGGGGAGTGGTTAGGAGCCAGCAGTCCCAGATTGTGAGAGAGATGTCCAACTGCCGGTTTAGGCCTGAAGCTGGCAGTCGGACATCCCCCGAGGATCCCAGTTTGGAGAGGATGCAGGCTGAGCTGAGGGACACCCCCCAAACACCTGTGCACAAATTTCGTGCACCTGGCCTCTAGTCTATGGTATCAGTGGTGATGAGTGCCAAGGAGAAAAGCAGGAAGGGAGAGTGGAAGCTATAGGGTGGTGTCAGTGTTCAATGGGATGGTCAGGCAAGGTCTCACCAAGAAGACCCTTGAGGCAAGGAAGGCAGGGTCCTGTTAGGAACATCACTCCAGGCAGAGGGAACAGGAAGTGTGAAGTCCCGAGTCCTGAGCCTCAGGTCATTTTAAGGATCAGCAAGGAGGTGGGTGAGTGGCTGGAACTGGGAGTTGTCTCTGTGCAGATGGCATTCACGAGACTAATGAGATCACCAAGGGAGTCGCTCTTTATTCCCTCCCTCCCTGTGGCCTTGTCAGTCCATTCGTCTCACAGTCGTTACACACCCACGGCGTGCCCGGCAGGGGCCAGCCATTGGGCAATGAGGGGGAAACGGGACAGCGTCCCTGCCTTGAGAGGCGCCCGTCCTGCGTGCGGACCAGCCCATCTCACTGTTTCGTCACGGCTCTGCGTGATGCTCTCACCGGCTGCATCAGCCCTGCCCTGCACCAGGCTCGGCTCCGTGCGGCTGCAGGCGCCGTCCAAAGCCCTTGCCCATCTTCAAAGCATCCAGGGTTGTCACAGGAGCAGCTGATCATAAGCCTTCTGTTTTCCCGACCGGCTCTGCCTTTAGTCGGTGCGGTCTGAGGAAGGGGCAGAGCTGAGTGTCGGGCTCAGAGGAGTGAGCGTCTTGAAGTCAAACAGCTCCATGACCTTGGGATTTGGGTCTCTTGGTTTATTGCTTTACACCCCGCGCCTGAAACATAGCGCCCAGGATGTGATCAATAAATGTTTGTTGAATGCACGAGTGACTTTGTGAGATTTTTGTGTATATGCAAAATATTTTAACAATGTTGCTATTGTTGTTAGCCCTTGCCTGAGGATATTTTTCTATTGATTTTTAAAAATATATATATTTATTGGTTTCAGAGAGGAAGGAAGAGGGAGAAAGAGAAACAACAATGATAAGAATCACTGAGTAGCTTCCTCCTGCACACCCCACACTGGGGATCAAGCCCACAACCTGGACATGTGCCCTGCACTGGAATTGAATTGGGGACCCTTCAGTCTCACAAATGAATGCTCTAGCCACTGAGCAACACTGGCCAGAGCCATTGATATTTTTAAAATGTATATTTTACTGATTTCAGAGAGGAAATGAGAGTGAGAGAGAGAGAAACATCAATGATGAGAGAGAATCATTGATTGGCTGCCTCCTGCACACCACCTACTGAGGATGGAGCCCACAACCCAGGCATGTGCCCTGACAGTAATGGAATATTGACCTCCTGGGTTCATAGGTGGACGCTCACCCACTGAGCTACAACTGCAGGCTCCATAGAAAGATTGGGAGTGAGGGGGAGAGACAGAGAGAGAGAAACATCAATGTGAGAGAGACACATCAATTGGTTGTCTCTTGGGGAACGGGGTCTGTGACTGAGGTGTATGCCTTGACTGGAATTGAACCTGAGACCCTTCGGTCAGAGGGCGAACACTCTATCCACTGAGCCACACAGGCCAGGGCGATATATGAGCAATACTTTAAGTGGAGAGGTTGGGTGTGCCGTGGAGTAGATGGGTCTGATGTTCCGGGAAGGTCATCTTCTGCTTTTTCCTCCTGCTGAAGTGGGACACAGGTCGCAGCTGGGCGCCCGCTGGACAAGGTTGCTACCTCTTGGCCATGGGAGAGTCGAGTCAGAAGTCAGGGCCCCGGGCATTCATGATCGTAAACATGGAGATAAGGCGTCCGCACACCCAGTCATCCAGCTGCTTCCTTGGTGAACACATCCCCGTGCCCCGAAGGGACAGAGGAAGCGTGTCCACAGCTTGGGAAGCAGCCAGGGGAGGGCTCGGTGGCCGCGGTCACCTCAGGAATACGTGCCTTTTTGTGTAAAAGGAAGAAAAGATGATTCATCGCAGAGTCTGACAGGCCTTTTAAGAATTTTGCTGTGAGATAGCCAACCGCCTTCTACGTGAGCAAAGAACTCTCGATCCTCAGCTCCCTGGAGGCCACGGACAGCCCCACGGCGGGAGGTCTCTGCACAAACCAACCGCATCCCCGGCCCCTGGGCCTCTCCCCACGGCCCCGTCAGCATGGGTCTCAGCGTCCTCTCATTGTCCCGGCCAACGCAGCCAGTCCTTCGGGGGTACGTGGACACAGTATATTGTTTGGGATTTTTTTTCTGTGTTTTTTTTTTTTTAATATCTTTTTAATATTTCAGAGAGGAAGGAAAAGGGAGAGAGAGAGAAACATCAATGATGAGAGAGAGTCATGGATCGGCTGCCTCCTGCACACCCCCTACCGGGGATCAAGCCTGAAACCTGGGCCTGTGCCCTTGACCAGGAATTGAACCGTGACCTCCTGATTCATGGATCGGTGTTCAACCACGGAGCCAAACCAGCCAGGGCAATAAAAGTACATTTTAAAATAAAAATTAAAAAAAAGAAAAATGACTGGGACCCGTGACGTGTGACACTCGGTTAGAAACAGGAGGTACTGGCTGGGGAGCGGGACAGAGGAGTCTGGAGGTCAGAGGCCAGGCGGGCTAGCGGTGTGGACGAGAGCGCCCGGTGTGAAGGTGGCAGTTAACGCTGGGACCAGTGCGGACCCGTGAGGGGTGAGGGCAGAGGCCTGGCAGCGGGTGGGAGGAGAGGCGGGGTTTCGGCTGGGCACAGTGACCTTCCAGGCAGGAGCTGGGTGGCGGCAGGAGCGGCTGTGGGCGGGAGGCCGGGTGGGGCCAGGGCCCGTGCGGGCGGCTCACAGAGGACGGTGCTGGGGGAGCCTTGGCAGGACGCTGGCGCCACCAGATGCTTTGGGAAGCGGGCAGGGCTGGGGATCGAGGAGGAGGAGGGAAGAGGGCACACGGGCAGTGTCTGCAGGGGCCGCCCGAAGGAAGCAGAGCCCGGACCGGGCCGCAGTGAAAGGAGAGCCGGAGGGCAGAGCCGGAGGGCAGAGATGGGTCGATGGAGAGCCGGAGGGCAGAGCTGGAGGCAGAGATGGGATCCATCTAGCGCCTCTGCGTGCCGCGGGCAGTGAGATACCAGCGCTGGGAGCGGAGCGATTAGGGGAGAAAGTCCTGTGTGCGTCACTCTGCAGTGACCAGGCCTGGGAATGGCAGGAATGCGGCCACCGTCCTCCAGGCGGGCCGGTCGCAGGGTGTGGCACAGGGAGCTGGTCCCACGGCCTCCTCCAGACCCCGGATGCCGCCCCGTCCTGGGGCTCGGGGCCCAGGACAACTCAACCGAACGCTTCGAGGAAGAGGCGGTACCAGTGCGGGCAGAGCCGAGTGTTCAGGGGCAACAGAGAGAGACTGCACTCAGGGGGCGGATTTATATTCTGGCCTGAGCCCTGGCCAGGGTGGCTCAGCAGACGGAGCATCGGCCTGTGGACCGACGGGTCCCGCGTTAAGGACACAGGCCCTGGTTGTCACTCGATCCCCAGTGTGGGGCATGCAGGAGGCAGCCGGTCCGTGATTCTCTCTCATCACTGATATGTCTCTCTCTCTCCCCTCCTCTCTGAAACCAATAAAAACCTATAAAAACATGAATTCATTAAACGTAAGTAAACTAATTAAAAATAAATAAGTAACTCCTGGCCTGAAACTCATCTGCTGGCTGGGTGGCCTGGACCAGCCCCTTCCGTGAGTCTGTCCGTCCGTCCGCCTGCAGCCGGGAGGCAGGGAGGTGAGCACAGCACTGAGGCTCCCTGAGAGGCTGGAGACACCCCTGGGGTGAGGGTGTGAGAGGCTCCGCCGAGGCTTTGAGATACGAAGGGTCACGCAGCTGCACGTACTACATCCTCCCCCCTCCGCCCCTGCCAGCTCGCCCACAGGCACAGCTCCAGGAGGGGCCTGTCTAGGGTGCACACCCTGCTCGCCCTGCCCCCCCTGTAGTTTTAACTCCTTAACTAGACTCCTGAGTCTCCTTCCATGAGGAAGGCAAGTCCCACTGCCTGGCCAGAGCCTCCGAACACCCTCGCAGACACGCGTGTGTCACGGCAAGGCCATCAGCTGGAAGCGGGGAGAGGCGTGTGCCGGTCTGTTTGCGGAGTTTCCATTGTTCCGTTCGTCCTTTGGTGACTTTTGGTTTGGGAGGTTCCTGGTAGGATTTTGTTTACAGACAGTTCCAGGGCTTAAAAAAAACATT